TTTTTTTTATGTTTTCATTTTTTTTAATTTATGTTGTCGTTTCTGAAGAGTGGATGTCATTTTCACTCTTAGGAATCACAAAACCCTCTTTCGTTTCTCTCAATCTCTCTTCTGCCAATCTGCCTTTCTCTGTCTCTCACTCTCTCTGTTTCTCAATCTCACCCCAGACAGACACCCCCCACCGGCCCACCCACCCGGCACCCACACGCCTCACCTCTCTCACTCTCACCCACCCTCATGGAAGCCCTAGCCGCCGCCTCTCTCCTCAGTCGTCCTCAATCTCACCTCCGCTGCCGCTCGCACGTCCGCATCTCACGGTGAAAAAAGCCCTAGCCGCCAGCCGCCGCTCGCACGTCCGCTTCCGCCAAGCTCGCACGTCCGCCTCCGCCAAGCTCCGCCGAGGTTAGGCTTTTGATTCCCCACTTTCTATTTTCATCAATCAAGCTTGGGCGATTGCTGTTGCGTTTGATTTTGGATTGATGTTTCGTGATGTTGATGATTGATGTTTGATAAATATTGTTTATGTTTATGATTGCTGTTGCGTTTGATTTTAGGCGATTGCTGTTCCCCACTTTCTATTGGATTGATGTTGGATTGCTGTTGCATTTATTGTTTATGTTGATGATTGATTCCCCACTTTTTTTTTTGTTTCGTGATGTTGATGATTGATGTTTGATACATATTGTTTATGTTTATGATTGCTGTTGCGTTTGATTTTAGGCGATTGCTGTTCCCCACTTTCTATTGGATTGATGTTGGATTGCTGTTGCATTTATTGTTTATGTTGATGATTGATGAAGAAACGGCCAACTTTTGTACGTGTTTAAGTTCATGAGTGCACATATTGTTTATTGCTAATATCTTGGAATTATGTCCAAAGCTCTCGTATATATATGCTTTAAGGCTTAAAAGGAAAGTTAAGGAGGGTACACAAGCGCGCACACACATATGTATATAGGTGCCAAAGCGGAAGCCCTTTGTAAAAATAAGTGCTTGATAAGAAAGTTTCATTTATATTGGGAACGGACCGTTCAAAATTTAGGGCAATTAGAAGAAGACCCCAGCGAGAATGTGACATGTATATTTGTACATGAAGAAGAATTAGATCGTGTGATTGGCAAAAGGTTGGTGTAAGAAGTGGATGTTTACATACACACACACACACATATATATATATATATATACACACACGTAGATGACATGAATGGAATATATGTCCAAGAATAGTTGGTCCCTTTTCTTGTTAGGAGCAACTTCCACTGACGTTTACCCTTCAACATACGTTTGGACATAATGTTGGTGTGTTTAAGCTTCCCCGAGATGAAAATTTGTTTGCCTTAAACGTATCAAAATTCAAAGCTTTTTGCATTGTTCTTATTGTTCAAGTTGCCTTCTTTGGATTTAATGCTTGGAATCTCCATATCCTCTCTCTTATTAGTGAAAGCATTGTGTGCAATTTGAAAAATCTCATGTAGTGAAAGCATGTTGTTTGTGATTGTTTAACTTTTAGCTTAATTCTTTTAGATGTCATCATCAGAAAAGTAAAAAGAGATAGAGTCTCAATCTAGTAAAAAAGAAACCGAAACTACTGAAACACAAGAGACAACTGAGGAAGAAGGGAAATGTACTAAGACAAGGAAGAAAGCCTGACAAGTAAGCCCGGTTTGGCAGCATTTCACGAGAGATGAAAAAACCAAAAGGGCTACTTGCAAGTATTGTGGTGTCACTTATGCCGTTGATTCGAAAAAGAATGGCACATCTACAATGAAAAGTCATATAGAAAGTTGCTTGATGAATCTAGAGAGTGAAAAAAAACAAAAGACCATCCAATTTAGTAGAAAGATCGGAGCACATGAGGAGGACACTACTACTAGTACCATGACACTAAGAGCTTGGTCCAAGGAGGGTTATAAGAGAGCCGTTTCGGATTATATCGTATTGGATGAGTTACCGTTCAGACACGTGGAAGGTAAAGGGTTTAAGCGCTATTCGGCGTACTTGAATCCTAGAGTGTTTGACATTTCAAGGATAACAATTGCGAGGGATGTTTATCAAATGTTTTGGAGGAAAAGAAGAAGTTGAAGAAGGTTTTAGGAAAGCAACGGGTGTGTTTGACGACTGATACTTGGACATCAATTTAGAACATCAATTACATGTGTTTGACCGCACATTGGATCGATGAAGATTGGAATATGCAGAAAAGGATCATTAATTTCATCCAAGTTCCGAATCATAAAGGAGAAACAGTTGCACAGGAGATTTTGGTTTGCCTTAATGATTGGGGCATAACTGCATTGTTCACAGTTACAGTGGACAATGCATCGTCCAATGATGTGGCTATGGACAGGTTGAAGAGAAAAGTCAAAGATATTCCTAATTTTTAGATGGCCAGATGATACATATGCGGTGTGTTTGTCACATTCTAAACTTGATTGTTAATGATGGGCTCACGGACTTAGCATATTCTATTGCAAGCATCCGCAATGCAGTTAGGTATGTGAGGTCCTCACCTCAACGCATCAAGAAGTTTAAGGAGTGCATGAAGGAAGAAAACATCAACTCAACTGCCCTATTATGTTTGGATGTGAACACGAGGTGGAACTCTACCTACCTAATGTTGGAGACTTCTTTCAAGTTTGTCCCCATTTTTGAGAGGTTGCTTTTGGATCAAAACTATTGTGCTTACTTTGATGAACTTATAAAAGACAAAAAGATATAGGGTCCACCAAATGAGACGGATTGGGACAATGCACGGGTTTTTTTGAGGTTCTTAGGTAAGTTTTACACTTTGACGAAGAAGTTTAGTCGTTCATATTATGTCACTTCAAACTTCTATTTCAAAGATATTTGTGCTGTCAAACGAGAGTTGATTAAGTTAGAGGAATGTGTGAATAAGAAATTTGATAAGTATTGGGGAAATGTCGAGAAAATGAATCACATGATGTTTCTTGGCTTGGTTATTGATCCAAGATATAAGTTGAATTATCTTACTATTGCCTTCAAGTGTATCTACAATGATTCGACATCTGTCACGTTGTTAAAAGGGGTTGAGGACATATTGCGTAGATTTTACAAGGAATATCATGATCGGGCTCCTCCTCCTCGTCCCCCCCCCCCCCCCTCTTTCCTTGATCACCACCGCAATCATCACAGTTGGCCAAACCTCGATTTAGGAATACAAGGTCAGCTCACTCAGAAGAAACTTATTCTGGTTGTAATTCAAGTCCTTCAACAATTACGGCATCTAGTGAGCCCGCCTCAATGCCAGTTATTGATGATAAGATAAAGGCCATGTTTAGAAAGCAAAAGATGAGTGGGAGTGGTGCAAATGTGCAGAAGAATGATGTGGATAAGTATTTATCTGAGCAATGCGAAGAGCTAGTGGATGACAGTTTTGACAGCCTAGGTTGGTGGAAAGTAAATGCTCCTAGGTATAAGGTCTTGTCCCAAATTGCTAGAGATGTGCTTGCAGTTCCGGTTTTGACGGTTGCATCTGAATCAGCTTTTTCTACCGGTCGTCGTATTCTTGATCCTTTTAGGAGTTCATTGGCTCCCAAGATGGTCGAAGCACTTATTTGCTTAAAAAGTTGGTTGAACGCGAACGATGAAGAATATGAACTCGTGGTTCTTAGGCAATATATGGATGACGTTGAATCTTTTACAGATTGCTATCATGTTGTCTCAGGTAATGTTAATCATGATTGTACATACTACACATACTTGATATAATTATATCTTTTTATTCATTTCATGACATATGTAAATTAATTTATAATTTTCTTGTAGATGATGGTGAGGTTGTTTCTACTCCAACGTGTTCAAAGGACGGAAGCGCTCAAGTAAATGATGCGGAATCTTCTAAAAGACCCAAGTAAGATAATTAGAATTATATCTATTTCTTTCTCATTAGCTATTCAATTTCATTTACTTAATTCTAATTTTCTATTGTAGCGATGCATATGAAGATATAATGGATTTGGATTTGGATTCGGATGAAGGGGAATAAGAGGTTTATGAGAAATTAGAAATGAACTTCACTATGCTTTTTAATTATGCTTTGGACTTCTTAATTTCTTATGCCAAGTTAATGTTTTTTACACTTTGAACATTAGTATTGTTTGTTGTAACTTTCAAATTTCTAGTTTATACTTTAGATTTTGGACATTGGATTTGGATATTTTGTGTTTGTGGTATTATCAATTTGGATGTTGTGCTTTGTATTCATTTATTGTGATTACATGCTTGCATACAAGGAACATTTTATATTTTTTCGTAATTTTTAGTCAAAAAATGCAACTAAATATACAGGTAACCGGATAGTTAACTGATAGTCACCATCCAGATTACCAAAACCGAAAACCGACCGAAAACCAAAAATTTGGTTAACCGAACCGATTCGTATTTCCACGGTTCGGTTTTGGTTCTCGGTTTCTAAAAACCGACAAGGACGGTTCGGTGACCGAACCGACCAAAACTGACGATTTTTAACCGCCGAACACCCCTATTATTAATAGTCATTTTTCATAAGAAAAACTCCCTTAATTGAAAAGTGTTTTCGTGCTGACTCTCCTCTCACAGCCTTGATTAGTTTTACAAAAATTAAAATATATTGGGCCTAACTCAACCTAACAAAACCGGCTTATTAGGAGAGGATTGTCTTCATCTTATTAAGTGGATCATGTCAATATCTCCAGTCAATGTGGGATTCTAATACGCCCCCTCACGCACAGCGTGAACCATGTCAAATCGCTGCGAATAAGTCAATATTGGGGGACCCAACATTACAAAACTGAGCCTGCTCTGATACTATTTTACAGAAATAAAAAGATATTGGGTCTAACTCAACCTAACTAAACCGACTTGTTAGGAGAGGATTGCCCTCACCTTATTGAGTGGATCATGCCAATATCTCCTGCCAATGTGAGATTCTAATAATTAGTAATAACAAATAATAGATTACTGTACTTTCACGTCCTTACCATAAAAGACGCCTCAAAGCTTAATCACCATAAACAGACCTTTCATTCCTCTGAATCTGACCTCATAAACCAGTCAGATTCACCCTCTAAAATCTACTCATTCCAATCCTCCATAAATTCACCATCTTTCTCTCTCCTCTCCTTCTTTCTCTCCAACACAAAGAAATGGCGACTTCTTCGGACAAGAACGGGACCAACCCGGCTCTTGACCCGGACTTGGACTCCCCGGGCGACCCGGCTCACGAGTTGGCTCAGTTCGGAGCTGGGTGCTTCTGGGGCGTGGAGCTCACGTTCCAGCGAGTGGTCGGCGTCGTCAAGACCGAGGTTGGCTACTCGCAGGGCCACGCGCCGGACCCGAATTACAAACTGGTTTGCTCTGGATCCACCAACCACGTCGAGGTGATTCGGGTCGAGTTCGACCCGAAAGTTTGTCCTTACACTCATCTCCTCTCTGTTTTCTGGGGTCGCCATGATCCCACGACTCTCAATCGCCAGGTTCTCTTTCTTTATTTTATTTTGTAGATTATTTATCTGATCACCTCTTGCGTTTTACTTTTACAAGTTTCTTTTTTTTTTGGATGATATATGTTGAGTAATTATTCTGTTTGTGAATTTTTGTGGTATAAAGTTTTGATTTTTTAGTCTTGGGTTTAAATTTTTAGCGTGCATTTAGTCGGTGAATTCGTGTCTAGTTCATATGATATTCGTGACTCGTTATAATATTTTTTTTTAAAAAAATTACGCGTAAATTAAGAATAATTCTAAATTATAATTCTGAAGTTATGAACTAAACGTGAACTTAAAGTTAATCAAGTAGTTTCAGTAGTAGGTGCAAGTGAGTTTTTCTGGAAATAATGAGATTTAGAGGAAGCTGTTATGTTCAGAAATGGGAATTTTTTACTTGAGGGTAAAATTGTGGTAAAAGTTAAGGAATTTGGCTGAAATATGCACACCCTTTTGGGGCTGGTTACTGAATATCAATTTTGGAACTTACATGTATTGGTCAACGTAAGCTCTCCCGTTGACTTTCTTTTCGAGCAGTGAGCATGCAAGTTCAAAGTAGTGGTATATATCATCTGTAAAGTGTAAAATAAACTCGAGTCACGCGTGATTCAAATATAAAAATAAGCATAAACTTGACATTGCATACCCAACTTAACATGTTGGCCTTTTAGCATTGAAAGCCCCAGTTTTTACGGTTCATTTTCGATTAATCATCGTACTTTTTTAACTGATCATAAATTTTCGTGTCAACTCTGAAACCCATTGATTATAAAGTAGTGTCCCACACACTAGTGTGCCAATTCTCTCACTGGTTGAAAAACTGGTGATCATCAAAACTAGTGAAAATTTTGCATTTTTTTCTTTTTTCCAAACTCAATGGCTGTTTAAATGATGTGTCAGGGTGGTGATGTTGGGGCTCAATATAGATCAGGAATATACTACTACAATGAAACTCAAGCTCGTTTAGCTCAGCAATCAAAGGAAGCTAAGCAGTTGGAGTTGAAGGATAAGAAGATAGTGACAGAAATTCTTCCAGCAAAGAGATTCTACAGAGCTGAGGAGTACCATCAGCAGTATCTTGAGAAGGGTGGCGGCCAAGGCCGGAACCAATCCGCCGAGAAGGGCTGCACTGATCCCATCAGATGCTATGGCTAGGGCTAAGGCTAACCTAAATAAAAATAAAACAAATAAAAAGCTTGCATGTTTGGAACATAAATTCCATCAGTTGTGTAATCCGTGTTATGTGCACTAATTATGTATGCATAATTTGGAGTCTATCCTTGTTTTAAGGCCTCTTTTGTGTATTACTTTCTTGTTAATAAATGCCAACCTTTGATATCGATAGCCTTTTGTTTATCTGAATGATTTATTATCTCCTTGAAAGGATGGACTGGTTATTTGCTGGTGGATATAACATGACTACTTGAGACAATTTATAATTGGAAAGAATTATTTTCATCTTTGGCAAGCCAAAGAGATCTTAACAGAAAATGTTACACTACCAAACCATTTCAGAAACAATAATATTATTTGCATGGTTCATGAGGCTCCATGTACCATGTAGCAACTCTAGTACAGAAGAAAAAGCATATGGCAGAGCAGCAAACAGCGGATTTGATCTGCTCAGAGCTCATCTTTCGGAGAGGATTGAGGTCCAACAGGATTGGTTGAAGAGTTCTTGATGGGATACGAAGCCTCCATTGCAATTCCACAAAGTCCCTCCTTGTTGGAGACGTCTCTTTGCATCCTTATGTAGCCCTTCTCTCCCCATTCTGGTCCCCAGGAGTTCCTTACTATCCAGTACTTGGTTCCATCCAGAGTGGTTCCATAGCCTACAACTGCAACTCCGTGATTCAGCTCCTTCCCGCAGTCTCCGGTAAATACACCCTATTTATCATACTCAAATAAATTAGAACATGATCTGGTTTTTTCCCTCGTTTTTCTTTGTTTTTCATCTACTTAGCAACTCAAAGTAGGTGACTATATGTGAATGTGAATACTAACATAAGATTTAAACTCCTTATTTTACAGTGCAGAATACGAGTCAGAAAAGTTAACCTCGGAGTAAAACTGGAAATCAGAACTTCCAGCATCTATGGCAACAGCTACAGGCTGGTTAGCAGCTGCTTTCAGCAGTGCCTTCTCGTCGTTCTCCGGCACGTTTTCATGGCCATCAATTGACACTGCTGGTGAGTTTGCCTACAACATTATCCGTTTCAGCAGTGAAAAAAAAAAAAAAAAGTTAGGAGGCAAATAACAAAGTCTGCTTAAAAAGTGCAAAAATGATGCATATGTATATAAACCTTTGAAGCATCACAACGTGCATCTTCTGCTTTGTAAGGGTAATAAGTTTCTGTTGTTATGCCTCCCCTGTTCTTTATGAACTCAAATGCATATTCCATAAGCCCTCCATTGCATCCTTGATTTTCATCAGTGTCACAATCAACCAATTCTTGCTCAGACAACGAGGCTAACTTATTTGTCTTGATTTGATTTATACCCTCAACTGCTGCAATAGTTGAGAATGCCCAGCAACTACCTGTATAAAATCATCAACAACAAAATTCAGATTACATCAATCAAGAAGGGCTATTTAAGCTTAAGAAACAGAATACTTACCACAATTGCCTTGATCCTTCACAGCAGTGACAGCACCTTTCTTTCTCCAATCAACTGACGTCGGCAAACGATCAAAATTGTCATGTGAGAAAGTTCCGGTGCCACGTGATGAACCTCGGAACATCCTGTGATGCTTGATCTTCGAGCCGGCATAAACCTCTCTGAACTCGTGGTTGGTCAGGTCTGCAAACTTGTTCAGCTTAAGCTTGTAGGGCTTGTCCTTCTTGTTAGTGTTGTGAACATGCATGACATTTGCTTTGAACACATTGAAACGCTTGTGCTTCTCATTGAGGCTCCGGGTCACCGTGTGATGGCTTCTCCACCTCTCGTACAACTCCCACAAGCTATCATCGGATAACAATTCCTTCTCGTGGAAATCGAAGCTCGCCCCAATCCCGAGAAGCAGAGCAAGTGAAAGAGCAACCAATAGAAACTTCTTCATCTCCATTTTGATTTAGAAGAGGATGAGAGTTTAGAGACCTTAGAGCTGCCTTATATAGAGGAAGGAATGAGAGAAAGGATGATAAAGTATAGATGGAAAGTAGGAGAAGAAAACAAAAGAGAATAAATGGAGTAAGTTACAGGTTCCTTGGGGAAATCAACAAATGGGAATGATAATAGAGGAAATATAAGATTTTGGGTTTGAGCATTTTCAAAAGGAAAATAATTGTTTTGGCCAATTTAGTTAACCTGCTAAATTTAATGGCCTTATATTATAAGAATCTTAATAGTGGCCAAATCTATTGTTAACTCTTTCTCGTCATGTCAAATTTCCCTCAACTAATTATATGCAGAAACCCAACTTTATTATTTGATGCCATTATTTATGTACTTCGGTATCCTTTTTAAACATAGCAAGTCATTACATTTTTGTGTCACTAAAACATGTCAACCTTATAATTTGTTCATTAAAACGCATCAATCCTGTACTCGGGTCATTAAATTTCTGGCAATCAAAAACATGCCAGTCTTGTTACTCGGTCATTCAATAACAATATTTTTGGTCACTTGGGTGTATGTTATATATACCTCATTTATAATTTATACACATTTCCCAATTTTTCTGGTCATTAAAATACATCAACTTAGAGTCGATCATTTCTGGTCATCATATTAAAGTAATTACCAATGACTTACAAATATGATCATAAAAATATTACAGGGAGGACTAAATAGATAGATGAGGACTGCATTATATGGTTTTTGGCCAACAATAATATTATTTCATGAAAGGGCTTAATTTTTCTATTCCCTATAATATATGCGCCATGTATGTATGTTACACTTTTAAAAAAGATGAGTTTGTTTGGTTTAGCTTATAGAAGCAAATGCTGGGATCTTAGTATGGCCAATTAGTTTAACTTTGATGAAAAAGAGAGCTAAGAGGGAGGCGTTTTTTGTGCTGTAAATGTGAAAAGCTTTGGTTTGGTGGGTGCATTTGAGAGTTATATTTCTTCATTTCATACCCAACACGTTACTACTTACAACTTCTATGTGTGTGTGTGTGTGTGTGTGTGTGTGTGTGTGAGAGAGAGAGAGAGAGAGAGAGAGAGAGAGAGAGAGAGAGAGAGAGAGAGGCGATTGAGCATGGTTACGTATGAGAAGTCATGAAGCACGATTCCTTGCAAGTTGGAAACAAAACTCCATAACTGCTTTTATCTTTAACTGAAACCAAAATATATAATAACTTTGAACATATTTCAAACTAATAACATAAATAAAAATGTCACCTTCCCTTCTTTAAAGTTTCTCCATCATCTTGTTTTTAGTGATGCGGGTTTAGTTTAGCGGTAATTAGTACATCCTCACCTCTAAATTTGAGATTTAGAGTTCAAATTCTCATTCCCGATTTTTAAAAAAAAGTTTTGTTCATAAATAGATAATGATTTATACATTGTACATTATAGTTTTGATATTTGAAATTGATTAAACAAAGATCCCATATCATGAATGGAAATAACATTTAAAGACAAATATATATATATATATATATATATATATATATATATGGCCACGTTTGGAGCTTTGAAATTTTGGAAAAGAAGACATTTGCCGTTGGCTCCTTATTTCGGTTCTAGCCCCAGATTTGCAAGAGATGGATTTTATGATAACAAGGCAAAAAAAAAATTGTGTCATAAAGTAAAGATGAATTGTCACGGAGCAATTCTTCTGGCCAACCAGATCATATAGTTAATATCCTGTCTCTCAATGATATCAAAATACCTAGTTCATATGTTTTTATTTTTTTATTTTTATTATTTTGGTCTGTTTTATTTCCTTATTCGTGATAACAAGACAGAAAAAACTACAAATCTCATTTCATGAATGTTCTCAATCTCTCTCTTAAAAGAGATAGTGGAATGTAATTTGGCATTAATTTTCATTATGTTGCATTATGCTCAAGTGTGAACTTCTTTTAACTTGCACAAATAATCAACCTCCTATGAACTAATAATGACATTTTTCGTTTGTCACTTGGCCATAATAATTGCTAATCGATTGCGTGTGTCTTTGTAACCAATTGCAAAAAAAAAAAAAAAAAAAAAAAAAAAAAAAAAAAAAAAAAAAAACCCCTTAATTCAAAGAATATATGACAAAGAAATTATTAAAAACGACAATTGCTCATTGCTGTTGTTGTAAGCAATGTTGATCAAGAGATGACTGATGATGCAATTTCCTTTATAATATTGCCAGTCCACACCATTTGACTATGCAGTCATGGCAAAAAGGATATATATATATATATATATATATATATTGCTTCTAGGACTGCTCTAGCTTAGCTCCGTGGATAATGAATTGAATAATAAATCACTTCTAACGGTTGCATGTACAAGAGAATGACCAATGAGTTAAACCTAACTAATAAAGTTATTCGTTATATGATGAGCCCGTTTGGCATTACTTTCTGAAAGTCACTTTTAATTTGTTGTGTTTAAAACTTGTCTCGGAAAGTATTCACATGACATTATTTCATAAAAATTTCGGGTATTTTAAAGTGCTTGACGTTTTATAAACATCCCTAATAACATTTTTATTGCCTATTAAAGACTTAAATGGTTTTGTTATTCTTTTAAGTATTTTAAAAAATATGTGGTTCTAAACAGATCATAACTTCTACTTCTACTTTTTTTTTTTCTATTGCCTAAAAAAAGACAAAAACAATGTCAAACGGGTTTTATCTCATGAGATTGAGATATGGTATTTCTATAGTGGGCAGTTTTTCTCTGGAGGGAAAACATGTGATTATTTAACCCTTTTTTAATTTCTCATTGGTGTGGACCGTGTGTTAGATCATGTGAGTTTGTGTTAGTTTCAAGCCATGATATTGATAACATAACGTGCCTTGTCTTCTTTGAATATTTCTCTTGCATAAGCAATGAATAATACTCGAAAAGAAAATGGAAAAACAACACAGAAAATAGTCACGTGTGAATGTCAATAAAGATTAAGAAGATGTTTAGTTGGAGGATTCAAACTATGATTTGAATCATGATTCGTGATTTACTACAGTGTTTTCTCTCATAAAAAATACACGTAAATCGAAAATAATTCTAATCCATGAACCAAACGTCTCCTAATTAGAGAAAATAAATATAAGTAGAAATGTGGATATAATTCGAAAAAAATGAAGCAACAACAAGCAAATTGTAATTACGAAAAAAAATGAAAAATATTTAGAAGCCAAATCCTCTCCCAAAAAAAAAAAAAAAAAAAAAAAAGTTTTCATCACTAATGAAGATTTACTAGTGATGTTACATCACGGAACCCCATGTGCCAAAAGAGCTTGTTTCTTGTATGTGTGATAAATTTCTGTTTCTCTAAGAGAAAAAAGAGTAATTTTTCTGTTTCACTTTATCAGGTTAAAAGGACTAGTGGTCATGAAGTTGGCAGCGTAATTAGCACTAAACATTGGTTGAAGAATGATGTTCCATGACAGAAAGTAAGAAAAAAAGGACACAACCAAAAGATGCATTTTAGGAAAAACAAAACGTTTTTCATGTGGTTGCCTGGAAAAAATCTGGTCTTAGGATGTTAAATTAGCTGAGAGTTTGGTGGGCCGTCCAAAACGAGCCCACTAGCAAAGCTGCGTTACCTGGGCCAATGGTCGGCCCATTTGAAGTAAACAAAGGTTCTCCCCACTTCTCCTTGGAAATTAAGAGAGAAAAATGAGACAAATACTCTTTTTAGATTATACGAGTTTTGATTTTAGTCCTTTACTTTCAATATACTTTTTTAATCAAATATTATATTAGTTAAAAATGTATTATTTAAGAATAAAAAGTAAAAATAATTAAGGGAGGGAAATGAGACAAATATCCTTTTAGATGGCACGAGTTTTGATTTTAATCATTTACTCTTGATATACATTTTTAATCAAATATTATATTAATAAAAAATGTATTATTTAAGAATAAAAAGTAAAACTCTAGAGTCGTAAACTTTTAAGAGTAAGTTTAATAATTTTCACATTAAGAGAGTCCATTTGACTTCAACGATCGCCATGGCTACACTGTTAATTTGCTTGCCTATGCTTTGTGGTAGCGGTAATGAACGCATACCAAGTGATTTGATAGATGAAAAATCTTTGATTTGAGGCGTGGAAGCGTTTGAAGTATGTCCAGGTTACGGGTTCATTAGCCGTTAATAAAGCTAATTAGCTAAAGTAACACACTTCATCTCCTGTTGTAAATAGCCTCGTCTTAACGCAGAAGTTACTCTGAACATGTGAAGGCTCCTTTAGTCTCACTCAGGAATAGCTATTCCTGGTAGTCCCCCCCTGCACTTTTTTTTTTCTTTTAATTAGAAAAAGCCTAAAAGCAATTATAAGAGAAATAACATATTCGAATTTCTAATTATCTTAGAAAAAAGATATAAAGAAAGAGTATGTACATAAGGTTCAATTTGGGACAAATCACTATCTACACAGTAGAATCATATGTGACTTTTAACAAGTATACAATGTGTATTTAAGTGGAAAAAATTATTAAAAAAAAAAAAAAAGAAGCGCTCAATCAAAGCTTTCCATGTTGGTAATTTGCCAAAACAATAATAATAATAGCACTTTCCATGTTGATAATAGTATTATATTCACATTCACAGTTCACAGTTCACGTCCATGTACAAACGACTCCATTCTTGTCCGCAGAAGCTAGGGGCTTCCCAAGCCCACTCCATGAACAACACAGGACGGGTGAGGTGTGCTCCTTCAGAGTGCTCACTATATCAGCTTTAGATATTGACCAAATATACACGGACCCATCAGCAGATCCAGCAGCAACATAGCTGTCATCTGGACTTAGACAGGACCGGCTCCAATTCGACGCTATTCTGTTACCTGTGGCTCTTAAGGTTCCACAGACCTCCAGGGATCGGATATCAAAAAGATTATGCATGTTGTCTCTCCCACTAGTCAATACTACGTTACCATTTCGAGATAACGACATGGAAGTAACGGCATGTGAGTGTGCAGCCACTTCACTAAGCAGCTTCCCTGTCTGAATGTTCCACAAACGAAGATTTCCGTCAACGTGGCCGGAGCATATAGTCTGTCCATCCATGCTGAAGCACAGAGCATTACAGTTGCTGTGAAACATGATTGTGTTGATGCAATAGCCTTTCTGCAAATCCCAAACTTTGATCGTGCGATCGTAAGCTGCGCTCACGACATACCGACTTGAGACTTTGCTTACATCAACCGCACACACTTTGTCCGTGTGACCTGTGAGAGTATGACGGACCCTCCCTGAGTTGACATCCCAGACATACAAGTTGTTTGAACTGCTTGCCGCAATAACTGATTTATTATCATGGGTAATGGTAAGATCAAGAACAGAACCAAGGCAACCATAAAGTGTACCACTTAATGACCCAGTATTTGTATCCCATATTTTGATGGACCTATCCTGTCCCCCAGTAATCAGTCGACCAGAATTGTACTCAAACAATATGGAAGCACATCCACCTTCATGAGCATGGATCTTATTTTTGAATCCAGAGGGAACATATGACTCCACAAAGTATTCTGCACCTTCTTCACTTTGGCGAACCACACCATCTACCTGCAGCCGAGCAAGTTTTTCCAGGTTGTTTGCCCTAAGCCGATCCATAGAATCTTCATAAAGTGCATTTAGCTAAGAATATTAATTAAAAAAAAAAAGGTGTAAGAAGCACATATACAGTATAAAAAAGACACAAAATTATCTAAATCTCCTCCATAAACAAATTTAACGCAAAGCACTGCTACACGCAACGCACGATCTACTCAAGATCTTTACTAATGCAAATCTAACAACTCCTAAATGTACAGTTGAACTATGAAGAGCTAGATGTTCCTAGAATGACTTGATGTTGGCTAAATTTTCTATTTTCTGAGTGTTCATCCATAAATAAAATTTAATCTTTTCTATTGGATAGTAACAGTTACTGGTAAGGAGAACAAATCGATGTGGAGCATAATAAATCCAAATGAAATCTACAAATGAAGACATAGAAAGATAAGGTGAGGTTTATTACAGCAAGGAGATAAAACTCACTAAAAGAAACTTTTGAAATTGAGATCTACGTCTTTGAATTTTGAGCAAAAACATGAGAAAAATGAATCCAGGGAATACTCCAGCACCCAGAAACTATCAGTCTTATATATGCAACCACATGTGCACACAGGGCATATTAACATATGTACACTAGGAGTAACCAAAATAGTATTGGATCAAGAAGCAAAATTTCCTGCTGCTCTAAAGTGCCACAATAATTTACTTACCTCATTAAGGCGCTCGGCATCCTTCATTTTCTCCAACATCCAGCGATCAATTAACATCTTATTTTCAGCCTCGGCATGCTTAGCTTTGATAGTTATCTCTTCCAGTTGAGCTCTAATTTCTTTGTTCTCACTCACAACCAATTCCAAAGCTTTAATCTTTTCATCTAGGTCTGCCTTTAACTGAGAGCATTCCTCCCTGCAACATATAGCTAAGTCGGAATCACCCACAGAAAATATTGAAATCACAGATCCTACGATTACAATTAGTAATTTACCTCGATTGAGTTAACTTTTCTTGCAGATCAGATATTGTCGCTTCTTTCTCTTGAAGTGAAGCTTTTGAAGCTCTGGACTCCGCTACTTCTACCACAAGTTGCTCGGACAATCGCGATTGAGCTTTGTAACACTGCTGAAGCTCTAGTTCTAGATTTTCCACCTTTTCCTTCCATTCTGATCCCTTCAGGTCATTCACAAATAAACTTACTAGCTATACCTAAAGCAACTATATGAAAAAGGATTCTCCAGATTTAGCAACTTTTGTAAATATGAAACCAAGAAGCAGGACTACCCAAAAACATCAATGCTGAGCATATCCGACAGAGCTCAATTCCGCCAAATACCAATTCACACAATCACTTCATGCAAAATACAAAAAAACCCAATTCTAGAAAATTTCAAATTCCCAAAATTTAACAGGGGAAAGAAGACTTAAAACATGATTGAAAAATATTCAATCCTAAAATTTCCTTATCAGAAACTGCCACACTAACTAAAATGGGCAAAATTCGGATGAGTCTGCTCTATGACAAAACGAGAAAAAGAATTCAGCAAATCACTAATCTCAATATGGTTTTTCTCTTCCAAAATGTAACAAAAGCAATAACCAATACATAATTAAAGTTCTACAAAACACCATACTCCTGATTCAAGAAAATGCATACTACAACAAAATCAACCTAAATTGAGAGAGAGAGAGAACCTGAGAAATGATCGGCTTTGATAGGGCGATAAAGGCCGGAGCATGAGCTCCTTCTTCGAGCAAATGCCGCTTCCGCAAAGCCTTCAATGCGTCATTTATCGCTTTCTTCGCAAGTTCCTCCTTTGACCTGAATCAACAAAAGTAAAAAACACAGCTCCACAATTTATCACCGTGATCACCTAAAAACCTCGTTTGGTTGCCGAGAAAATTAAGTAACCATTTTTTTTTTACACTTTCTCCGAACAGACCGTCAAATTGAAGCATTCACTGAAAGGGAATTCGAAATTGGCAAAAGTGAGAAAATTTTCTTTTTTGCGATTCTTTTTCTGTGGAGTTTCTCGGCAATCAAACGGAAGAAAACAAAAAAAATAAAAATAAAAACAAAACGCGATTAAAATGCATTGCGATATGAATAAAGGTTATTGAAGACTTACATAATGATTGGAAGTGAAAAGTTTCTGAGGAAATGAAGGTAAAATTAGGTTTTTGCGAAGAGCTTCAATGAAGCAATCGTTTTCCGTCAGCGCTTGAGAGGGGAGATTGAATAACATCCGGGGGTATTTTGGGAATATGAGATTTTTGATTCCTCTGATTTTACCTAAAAGTCCATTAAGATTGCTTAAATTATGACGTTAATCACTTTCTTTTGTGATTAACAAATGTTTTTCTGAAGGTGAATCATGATGTTTGGTAGAGGGATTCGTTCCCTAATTTGAATCATAATTTATGATTTGTTACAATATTTTCTCTCACACAAAATTCACGTAAATCGAAAATAGTTCGAATCACATGGTTTGAATCCTCCAACTAAACGTCTTCCACGATTGGGATAATCACACTAATGCATACTCTAACGAGTCACAACCAAATAACATGGGAAACTTAATCATGATCATCAATTATATATATCCATAATTTTAATGTAAGACAAAGAGATAAATGTGCATCGTGTTTTAACGGTAAAAACTTGAAAAGGTACATTAATAACCAAGCATACAAATGGCTCTTCTTACAACGTTTCTCCACTTGTTAGAAAACTTGAATCGATCGAAATTAAGAAACCCATAACACAAAGGTTACCTTTAATCTTTATTTATGCTAATGACCTATTTAGATTTATTGTTTTTAAGGTTTATGATCGAATAGGTAGCTTCTATAAGCTATATTTGAAATATTTTAGGCGGAAAAATTGATATAAATGATAGGTTTACTATCACATTAACCATAAGAATCTACACTAAAAGCGGGGGACATTTTCAAGGGATCAAATATTTATTTCCCGTGGAGCTCATTTTCATTTCCTTTGTAGAGTTACGTGCATGTGAGTCGAAAATATTGCACGAAGAAATTCTTTCTAGAAGAATCAGGGTTTTCATTGTTCCATTTATTACAATAAATATTTTTAAAGAAATTATATTATTAACTCTTTTCCGAAAAATTATTTGTTATATTCTTCAAGAGTTACAATTATACGATTTATTTTTCTTTAATGAAATTACCTTTATTTTTCTTTGTAGCTTACATAAAACTCAATACAAGTACAAGTTGTTGATTAATGAAATGTTGTTTTGCATTTTAAAAAATTAAAAAAACAAAAAAATAAATAAAAGGCTCTCAAGTTGTCTTTTTGAGTGATGGCTAGGGTTGACGCGCTTTCTCTCTCTTGAGTGGGTTTAGTTTATTTTGTGTGTTCCTCCCTCTTAGAGCCGGATTTTGGTGCCCCCGCTTGGCTGATTGTCAGAATCTTGGCCGCAGAGACGAAGATCTGGCATCCACCTTGAAAGTTCCAAAGGAAGGTTCGATCTCGTGGTTGGAGAAGGGGATCTTTGTTGAGAAGGTTGAGTGGGGCCATTGGGATCGTAGACGCATGTACGGGCAGATATGTGGTCTGAAAGTTCTACACCATTAGGGCTTCTTCTTTCTCACGAAGGCGATGTTAAGGATGGGAGGTGAGAATGGATGGTTGCTCGGCATCAAGGATGGAACCCTAACTGTGTTTGTTGGCAAGAGGCATGCGGCTACCTGGGTGGATTTGCTTCTTGGGGGATTCTAATACCATGAAGTGGTGAAAAAAAAGGTGGGGCGTGTCATGTTTGGCGACAAAAAGTGTCAAAGCGTGGATCTCACGCACCGGCAAAGGGTTGCTCTCTCTACTTTAGTTCCAATCCTGTGCAGTATTATGTTCTTTGGTTCTTCTACTCATGGTGGCCAGATTCGCTCTGGCGGCTTCTGTGTTGGAGGTTTGTCTCCGTTAGTGGTAGTTGTTTAGTTAAAATACAGGCGTTAAGCTTTGTCTTGTAGGTGTTCTTTTTATGTGTTTTTGTTTTTGGTTTGTAATAAGTGGTTTTCCCACCTTCTAATTTTATTTTTGTGTCTCACTTGTTTGAGTTGTGTTTCGACAGTGTGTTAGGTGACCTTTGATTTAGAGGTGCCCTTGACTCCATCGATCTAAGTTTTTCATTGATTGTATAATGTGTCTTCAAAGAGCCATACGTGTTCTTAATCGTTGTGCCCATTTCCCGCTGTGGGAGCTCTTTGCACATTTTCTCTCCTCCTAGGTTTTCATAAGTAGTGGAATTGGTTACTGATATGGGACAAGTTCCTTATATGAAGAGATAATTTGTTGCAATATTAGTGTTTGTATTTTCTTATTTTGGAATACATTTATGCTAAAAAAAAAGGACTCCCAAGTTATAAATGCAAATGAACTTTTTTTGTAAGGCTGTTCATAAACCCGTAAGCCCAATCCACCTCACCCTAACCAAACTCGAAAATGCAATTTCTAGTATTAATTTTTTTTTCGGCCCATTCAATGCCTGACCCAAGGTTTTGGGGCGGGGTGTGGGTTGGACCTATAATGGCTCGCACACCCCAATCCAACCTGTACTCTAATTTACTTCCTCTAATATCTAACCCTAGGCATGCAACTCATTTCTACTCTAGTTTCTTCATGTTTGAATTAAGCCTCTATGTTTGCTTTATGTTAAGACTAATTTATGAGTGTAGACTAATTTATGTTTGCTTTATGTTTGATGTTGGATGGACTACTTTGCTTTATGTTTGATGTTTGATTGAATTTTAAATTTCTATCTGTTTGAATGTTGGAGTTATTATTTCTATTTGATGATGAACTTTGAATGTTGGATTGAACTTTGAGTCTTTGATTCTTTGAATATTGAAACCAACCACCTAACTTACCCCGCACTGCCCCAACCCAAACATCATTAAGTTGTAAAATTTTTCTAATATCGTTGAGGTCAAATATGTGCAATCCGCACCCTTTAAGATGTGAGAAGAAAAAATCTTACCCCACACCAACTCAACCCATGAACAGCCATATTTTTTTGTTTGTGCAAACGAATTTTTTTTTATGGTAAAATAAACCTAAAAGAATTTGTATGGTAAAATAAACCTAAAAGAAATTTAAAAGGCTGGTATGAAGTGCTTTTTATGGGCAAAAGATCCAAAGTTAATAAATACAAATCTATGGCGGCCACGCAATTTTGGGAAGCATCAAGCATGTATTCCATCAAAATATGAAAGAAACCTTAGAAAAAATATTTTAAAAAAAAAGTCAAACGTAATCAACAAACCAGGGTGTGGGGTGCTTCCATCCTAAGTAAGCCAAAAGAGCTATCCTTGAGAAGTCTCAATCACACAAGCTTAGAGAAAAGAATTATAAGAAAAGAACACAAAAAAGATGTATTGTCGTTTTCAAACCCGTGATGTTTATTAACAATGAGATTTGATTCCATTCAATAATGGAAAACAAAGTGGTTAGAGTTCTTTCAACTAAACAACCAAGAATAACAAATCCCACCACCATATAAAATTCTACAAATTATGACAGATTCATTAGAAAAATAAAAAATAAAAAAAGAACCGACAAGATACACATTCTGCAACCATATATAGTTTTCTTTTGCTGAACATCATAAACACAAGTTAGATCCCAAATAATTTTCCTCATTTCCCCCTCCTGTTTTCTATTTTTCTGTTCTGACTCCTTCCCAAGAACCACACCTGTAACCAAAAAAAAAAAAAAAAAAAACTTTTTAAGCGGCTCGAATTCTATCCAGCCAGTCTACGCTTTTCCGAGCCTTTTCTAGCTGTTGGTCAATGCTTCTCCTAGATTTCTCATGGTATTCCACACTTCTCCTTGACCTCTCCACCTGATCAAAAGAGATTCTGTACTTTTCTAGCTTGTCAATGTTGTTAAACTTGTACTCGTTAGTCTTCAGCTTGTCGGGAGGCCTGTCGATGCTTTTCCTAGGTTTCTCTCTCCGGTCAGTGCTCTTCCTCGGAGCCTCATAACAGTCTGTACTCCGTCTGGAATGTTCGATGCGATCTGTGCTTTTTCGTGAGCTAAACCTTCGCGAAGGCGACTTTTCCACCGTTGATATGAACTTTTTGAGATGCCTTATGTATTCCGGATAGAGTTCCAAATCACAATGATTTCCGCCTTTGAGCCACAAGGGTTCATATTTCTCTTGACAGAGCTCCCAAAGTTGCTTGCCATGAGAGCAATCAACAACTTCATCGGCTGTTCCCTGCAAAATAAATATAAAAAATATAATCACTTAAATAAAATAATACAAAGATTGTGCAAGCCCAGCGCTATTTCTATGAAAAGTCAACCCAGGGAATCTCCTCTTCCTATAAAACCTTCTTCTAGATGGTTCATTTCAACCACACTTTCCCATCTCACACTTAATCTCCATTGATTTCATGTATCTATCCTTAGCCAAAAGATTCTCTTATCCCATCACATGTCTTGGTCTACTCTCTTTGTAATTTATCAACTTACAATTTAAATATCATATACTACAGGTCCATTTTACCTAATACGGCTCCTTTTTTTTTTTTTTTTTATGTTAACACTTCTTATCCCAACCCTTCTATTGCATTCAAATTTCTCAACACTTTGTTCGTGAGATCTGATCTCGAATCTTGAAAGTCATTTTTCAGGAAGACAACGTTTTTCAAGAACTTCATACAGAAGGGGAACAAAAACACAAAATGGTGAATGAAAATGAGCTTATTTCCATGCGGATATACTGAAAATAGTCATTACGCAAATGCTAAAGATAGATATATCACACGACATATCAGGGAATAATAAAAATCTACAGTCAATTTATTGACATGGAAAAGGCAAAGGACTAAATAAATAATAAACACTTACATGTATTACAAGCACAGGACATTTAACTAGAGGGATTTTGTCAATGTTCTGCAAATCAAAGATGAAACCGGTTTCAGATATATATAGCATGTGGAGTTACTAAGTGAAAATTATCAAAGAAAGTTTGTCAAACAAGATTTTAACCTTATAAATGTCAAACCAGTATGTGCGCTTGACAGGATACATGACTCTTAGACCCGAGAGTATGGGACTGTGAAGAACAACGGCTCTTAGCCGAGGCAAACGAGCAGCAAGATCGACAGTAGGTCCACTTCCAACTGATTGACCATACAGGATGATATCTTCCTGCTTAGCACCGTATGTCTCTTCAAGACACTTATACGCAGCTTCTATGTCCGCGTAAGTATTCGCCTCACTTGGCTACAGAAAGATATGTAAATCAACTTAGAGGAGGCTAATTACCTTGGACCATAACAACTGAAATATTATTCTTGCTGGACTTACCTTTCCTGATGACTGCCCATAGCCAGAGTAATCATAGCTGCATAAATTTAAACAAGGAGGGTGAGATTGCATTCCATTTTTTACTCTTTCGAGAAAGAATAGTTTACATGTATATAATGTATATCTTCTTCAGGCAAGGACTTGAAACAAGGTCTCTAGATAAATTGCAATTAGGCATAATCCAGATTACAAGTTTACTTTCCTTTACCTCTTTCAGAGGCAACTCTAACTCAAGTACTCTACCAGCTCCAACCATGTGAAGTTTTATATTCACCCACTTTTCATCAACATTTATGAATCCTCCTCTCCCCCACCTGCTGGTGATAGTTAAATCATCTCTCTCTCCTCTCTCTCTCTCTCTCTCTCTCTAAACTGTTAATAAGCTGATTCAGCTAAAGTACCCTAGATGGTTTTTCCTTTCTCTTCTCTTTTATTTTATTTTATTTTATTTTTTGGGTATCAACAATCTTCAATATAACATCACACAACTCAACCTGTGAGATGAACACATTACAGATCTATAGAAATTACCAAGTACAAAACCTAATCTTAGTGACGTTCCTTACTTAGCTCAAATCTAACAAAGTTTTAAGGAAACCTTTTCATCAATTAAACAAACTTACTATAATTAACCCAAAAAAATCCCAAAAATCTAATTCCAACAACCGAGTAACACAAACTCATAAAACACATTTCTTCCAGATCAAGGAACCGCAAAATTCTGACAAAATCCTAAAATGGGTAACCGCAAATCCACCATAATATTCCACCAAAAAAGCCAATCAAACACAAAAGCCGAAACCCCAAACAGAGGAGAGAGATGAGAGAGAAAGTTACCCCATGATGTTGAGGCGCAAGTGGATGCTGAGCTCGACGAACAGCTCGTACATTTGGCCGATATCGGCGGCGTTTCCATGGGAGTAGAGAAGCGTGGAGGAGGCCATGGGGTGGCGGACGTAGACGGCGACGATCTCGGTGCCGCGGCGGGTGGGGAGCTTCAAAACGTCGACGTTTTCGCGGTGGGGGAAAGGGTCAAGCAGCTGAAGCCCAGTGGCATCGTCCGTAATTACCTTGTAGGACGGAGGGTTCGGTGGGAAGAAGGCGAATTTCGCCGCCATGGATGAAGTAACCCCACCCATTTTTTTTCTCTTTTTCTCTTTTTTTTTTCTTTCAGGTTTTTTTGATAAGATCTTTCTTCTGTTCTGGGTTTCTGAGGATCAGTTCAGAGAAGACAACTTGATATTCCTATTGTCTATGGTAATATGCTACTACCACAAGGTCTATAGAGGTCTACTTTCTCTCTCTTTTTTTCTTTCACTCTCTCTCTCTCTCCGTTTTCTTTTTTTCACTCTGTTTGAAGAGGGAAGTGTGTTTGCTTTGAAGCGAAAAAGGGCGACTATTTTCTCACGCTCGGCGGAAGAGAGAGAATAGAGGGGGAGGAGAGAGAAGCTCGTTATTATACTCCATGAGTTTTTTTTTTTTTTAATCTCTTTTTTTTTTTTTTTTTTTTTTTTTTTTTTTTTTGCTCTTTTTAGTGGGCAAATGATATCCGGACCACCTGTGCAGTTTTGGCCCTTTACAGACCATTGTCATGCTCACGTGTTGTATTATTGTCCTACTACTATTTCTCATTTTTCATTTTTCATTTTCTGTTTCTTAATTGCTTTTCCTTAAAGCAAAGGACAAAGGTGTCGAAAGAACAAAGATGGTGTATTCCCAATTATAAAAAAAAAAAAAAAAACAAAGTGGTGTATTCCTGTTTATTTTACTGATTTTAGTTTAAAATTTAAATTTTGTTATAATAAAAAATTTTTAAAAATAATTATATTTAATTTTTTTATTATAATAAAAAATTTTCATATAAAGTCATATTTCAACTTAAATTAAAATATTTTGTGTGATATATGAATTATGCACGAAATGTATTGTTCATATATTGGGCCTCTCTCACCTTAATATAACTAAAATTTAGTTAAATATTTAACGAAAAGAACGAATAGTCTTATCATTTCATTAAATGACGTGTAATTTATTTTTTTAGGTTTTATTTCTTTTCTTGTATCAAATTTTTTTTTTATTTTATACGATCTTGGAAGAGCTAGATCTCTATCTAATAAAGTATTTCTCAACTTTAATGAATGTGAAATTTGATATGGAAGATAAGAAATTTCATTAACTTAGCGAATGACTCATACAAATTAGGTTGAGAATTTCTCAAAAAAAAAAAAGAAAAAAAGTTAAGAAGATTTAAGTTAAATCGAAGTCAAAGATAGCCTAAAATACCTATTTGATATCAATTATGATGTTATGACTTATACCTAAATATATATGTTTATTTCTTGCACATGCAAAACTTCTAATCCTTTTCCCACCTTTTTCTTCTTGAAGCAAATACTTTCGCTGTAATCCACATTTCTTATTCTGGATTAGAGTATAAGTTCGCTTTTTCTATTTAGATTATTAGAATTAAGGCCTTAAAATTAGAGAGTAAATAGATGATGTTGGTATCGGGTGGTTGAAAATCATAAAGGGCTTCATAAGTTACATGCTTCGATTTACTTTGGTAACGATGAAACTAGAAAATGTGAAAAAAGGAAAAAAAAAAAAAAAAAAGGTAGTATTTGGAATGAATAAAAAATTAATCCCGTGTTTAGAATTGATCCCGTTTTTATTTTTCACATTTTTTGAGAAAGAAAAAATGAAAACATTTTTAAAACGGCGTTTAACGCAATAAAGACAAAAAATAAAAATAAAAAAGATTTTTTAATTTTGTATAAAATGACAGAGAAATAAAAAATGTCTTTTAATCGTTTTTCATTTAAACTATCAAACACATTTTAAAAAATTATTTCTATCTAATATTAAAAACGTTTTTATTTTTATTTTCATATAAAAAAATAAAATTATTTTTAAACGAATTCTAAATGTGCCAAAATGACCATGATCCGACACATATTATTAGCTAGGGATACATATGCAATTAAGATAAAATATTGAGGGTATTAACGTAAATTCCTCATTTTTCTAATAGTTTTACACTTTGTTTACAGGTTGTCCCATTTTCTCACTCGTGTCTCTATGTCCAATGACTTCCCGGACGGCCACCACACCACTTCCGACATTTTTGAAGCCATTATTAACAATAAATAATATTACGTAAGAAGATAAATTAATTAATTAATGCAAAAGATAAATTCTGTTCAAAATAAGATGGAAAGCGACCAATGAACCAATATTGCTGCCCTTGATACCCTAGCGGTTGAGATCTAACTCTGGTTTTAATGCCATGATCAGCTGCCGTACGATGTATCAAGATAAACGGTGGTGATTGCATTAAAAGCTTTTAAACACGGGGCCCATTTTAATAAACATGACAGGTTGCAAGAATCAGTCCCTCTTGAACGTGCACAGTGATCAGTAAGAAATTCCATATCTAATGTTGTTGACGTTTTTACTTTATCTCACGTTCTTCATATTCATAACACAATATACAAAAGAGAAATGAGGTATTAAAATTGGAAAAAAGGAAAATAAAAAATAAAAAAAGTATTTTTTTCTAATTAAGTTCTAATGCATTGTGACTATGAGGACAAATTTTCTCAGTAGGAAAAAAAAAAAGGACAAAATTTTGTTATGAAAACTATTGACTTATGGATTTTATGCCTTTATGGATACTTTTGAATATATGTATTTTTGTCACGATATTTATTAGAGCAATATAATGCACATCTCTGTGGAGATAAATTATCTTCCATATATGGTACCTTTCTGCTTCTTTTCTAATGGGGAAAGATTCATTGTTGGCCGGATTATATTGAATGGACTCAATTAATGTGCTTTACTTTGTAGCAAGAAAATAAAGAAGATACATTCATGTTTAGTTAATACTATATTGAGGCTTTAGGTGAAGGATAGAAGAGGGATCGTTTGCATTATTCAATCTTCAATACAAAAATGAAAAAAAAAAAGTATTGGTATTAAATTTAGGGTGCAATTACGGTGGATGAGGCTATTTTGCTCTACTGGTAGGAATTGTGTTATAGTTATTGGATTAGTTTTTCAACGGTTTGATCTATAATATGAGCAATTTTGTGTTGCTTGATGTAAATTTTTAATGCGGATATGTACAAATCTAATCGTTAAAGAACTAATTCAACGATTAAAAACAACAGTTCCTACCGATGAAGCAAAACTTGCTTCTTCATTGTCCACCATAAACATTCTCCTTAATTTATTTTTTTTTTGCCTCCACATTTTCTTCAATTTCTTTTATTTATTTGATAGAGGAAAAAAAAAAACCCCCCTTAAATTAGGGGCTACTGGCTAATTATATTATTAGAATATTTGTTATTCTAGAAAAACTCAGAGTTGGGGTGCTGGGATTTGTGTGGAATGTGAAAGCCTAGAGCACACCACCACATGTTTTTAGTAAATTTGGCTCAGGAGAATGTGAGGAATAATGTTGGTGATGTTAAAGACAATGCTCTTGAGAAAATGACTTTGCCCACATGACTACTTCTTGGCTCTTTCCCTAATACATAAGCTAAACCAAAAACAGTCAAACAATGAGTTTACAAGCTTCTTCTTCCCTCTTTAGTCGTCATTAATTATTTTCTTTATCCTCATAAAAGCTCACAAAACCATGCCTCAAGAGATTCTTTTTTTATCATATACACCAAAGATGTATAAAAAAAAAAAAAACATAAGCTTTTTTCCTTTTTAATAATAATAGAAAAGTAATACATGGCTCAGAGGTATTAAAATATTACCTTAGCTAGCCAATATTTTATTTGATTACATTCTACTTTTGAGAATATATGTTGTTTCTATTGTCACAAAATAAATAAAATAAAAGGGAGTTTCTGCCTCTTACTAGTATGACTTGCCTTCTTACTAGTATAACTTGATTTCTGACCGTTAAATATGTTAAAATTATATTATATTAAAAAAATATGCAGAATAAAGAGATAGAGATTTAACGGTTAAAAATAAAAAAAATTTCAATCTTACTAGAGAAACTCTAAAAAAATATATCAATATATATATATATATATAACTAATGTACCAATTCAAGAAGTAATCTACAACATTTCAACTCTTCACATTTATGCGTCTACTACATTAATTTCAACATTAAAAAAGGTCTCCCACCTTAAGTTGGGGGGCAAGAGAGTAATGAATAATGAATTACTGCAAAGGTTGTCCGAGATCCCAGCAAAATGCAAAACTATGGTAAACATCCCATCAACTTATAAGACCCAACGTGGTTCATTTTTATTTTATTTTTTCTTTTTCTTTTTCTCCGGAGCCAAACAGAACTTCAACGATGTAAAACATTACAATGTGATAAAAGAATCAATTAAAAGAGATCCTCTAATTCCAATTAGGAATTCCTTAGGCCCTTTAGGAACAACCTGTCAAGTTGCAAATTTTTATTACATTTTAAAAACTCATAATCAGATCTCAGTAACTAAAAATTTATAATTTAAAAATTTAAAACAGACCTTTTAAGTACTTAAATATTATTTAATGGACGAAAACGGAAGAATTTATAATTCCGATCCATGCAGTAACATCCTTTTTAATCCATTCAACTTGAATTGGCATTTTCTCCATCATAATTATTGTGAAAAAAAATCCACAATAATTAGCCTTGGGCAGTTTTTTTTTTTTATGGCACGGCATCTATCTACAGTTTAAAGCAGGTAAATTTTTTTTGCCAAATAGAGGAAATGAACTGATTTAACCCCACTATCATTGCTGTGGAATGTGGCAGTTGTAAAGAGAAAGCAATTGACTTGACCATCTGCTCCAAACACAATAAAAACAAAAGTACCCATGTCCCAGAATACATGACGCATAAGCCCTTAGCATTTCCAGCCACAAAATTAGAGTAAAAATAAAAAAAGGAAACTAATCTCAACCCAAAAGCAAGAGTGCTAGCAGAATTTTATTTTTATTTTCATTTTTATTTTATGAAAGAGTCATAACGGAGTTATTCAGATCTCATTTATTTTATAAATTTAAGTTTAAAATTTAAATTTTATTATGATAAAAAATTATTAACAATAATAATATTTAATTTTTTTATTACAATATAAAATTATTATAAAAAATCACATTTTAATTTAAATTAAAAACTCGAATAAGAATAAGAGAAGTAAACCGACATTTATTTACTTTGAGGTAAACATGCTTGGACAGTTGTTAAAAGGACCATCGACAGTTTAGCAAAGTAAACCTCTGTCCCTAGATAGTGGAACTAACTTGTGCTTTGGTAGATTGAAAAGTGTAGGGACAGATATTGAAGAGGGATATTGGAGGTTTTTTTTTTTTTTTTTTTTTTTTTTTTTTTGGTGTGGGTGAGTGAAAATAGAAGTGTTTTTTTTTTGAGTTTTTAACGGAGCATACCGAAAAACTATGTTAACCTAATCACAGTTCGTCTTCTTAACAAGAATATATATTAGTTATTTTTTTAAAGAGAATAAGAACATATATTAGTTAAAAAAAATAAATAAACATTCTTTTTTCTTCTATCAAACAATAACAAAAAAAAAATCTGTTCTTTGTGTTTTCGACACCTTTGTTTATATGCCCATCATTCTTTCCTACTTAGGAGAATTCTGTGATAGACTATGAAAAAGTAATGTACTAGTAGGACACAATTTTAATCATTAGATTACATCAAAATTTATATCAAACTAAACTAAGCATAATTACTAAATGAAAGTTGATGAATATCTATGATTTAGAACTCTGTCGTACACCCCACCAGTACCAGACTTGTTTAAGAGTTTAAAACATCATTAAAAACTTCTGTTTATTTTTCCTTCCCCGTATAGAAAGACCAGTTAAGATTGTCAGATTGATAACTCCTGTAGGTGAGGAAAAGGCTGGCGGTGGACAACGTGTAAGTCAAAAGAAGAAGCTAAGACGAGGGGAAAACAGCAAGTCATTTCAGCTATAGCCACAATGAATCTATCCTTGTGACAAGGTTTGAGAAAACGTGCAGTTCCACATGCGGCGCCCACACATTGTGAGTAATAAAGGTTTGGACTAGGACACTACTAACGCCCACCCAATACTACAGCACTGCTTTTGAAAATTTTTCATCTTGTATTAAAAACGGAGTGAATTATAGCCGGCGAGTAATTCCTACGAGTAGCCTAAGACTGCTTGGTCTATAGCGTCGCTGAGGGGTTCCGGCGAGATGGGATTTGCGGAGAAATTACGGGTCCGATTCTGTATAGTATTAAAAGAAAGGGTAATTCCGACAAGTAACATCTACGGGAATTGAGTCCCCGGTTTTAAAGGGGGTTTTGAAATGTTGTGGTTTTAACAATTTCTGAATGAGAAGTTTGACAAAAATATGGATTGGAGTGGCAGGGGGCTCAGATTTTTTACGTATCAATGATTTGAATCAAACTTTTGGGTTGTTTGGAAACTATACTCAAACCCAAATCATAATTATGCTACAGTATTTTTTATCTCACAAATAGTTTGACTTCTAAAATTTCTTCTCACAAAATTCTCACTAATAAATCTAAATCATAATTTGAGTATACTTTCTACGCTTTTGACCATTTGAAGTTTAAACAAATTTACCAAGGCCAAAAGATTTGGCGGGTTTTGGGCTTGTCCAACTACACAAGTGAAAGATGACCATCTCTCAATCAAATCAAGTCATTTGGCAAACAATTTGGCTCCTGTTAAGGATGAAAGAAACAGGTGGTTCACACACTTGTTGAATCTTTGCTTAGAAGATATAGAAAAGACAGTTTGATCTGGAAGTGATATGGAGGACCAGATAGAAAAGACTTCTCTGGCTAGCTTTCCACAACCAAGGACCCCGTTAGCTTTAAAATCATTTTGGTTCACTATATCTAGAAGATTTACACAAATCAGATATTGAATGGTGTCCAACCAGAAATGAACCTAACTTGAGGAAATTCTGGCCAAATAATCTTAAACATAGTTTACTGGCCGACTTAGTCTATACACTTAATAAGTCACATCCCTTCCATTTTCAAATCCACAAGCGTATACATAAGGGTGGACTTGGGCACACCAGCTTCAGCGGTTAGTGGTAAGATGTTAGGAACCTGGTATTTCTTAGCCAAACAGCCCCAAAACACACCCACACACACAGGAATTAGTCAAGCAAATGGATAGAATCAGGGGATTTTTTTATTAATCAACTCCACTAAACACCGATTACACTATGAACAACAGAATCAGAGAATTTGAGTACTCCGGAGACTCCTAACCGGTGGTATTCGAGAGACCACTAGCTCTCCCAAGTGTTTCCAAAATTCCACACTAAGTCTAATCATGATCCTCTCCAGCCTTAAACCCCCTATCTATATAACTAAAGACTACTGAATAATAGAAAAAACTAACAAAGCCACAAAAACCAACAAGCTAGCTATTAGGTCTCTAACATTTCCCCCCTCCTCAACTTCAACTTGTCCCCAAGGTTGAATTCGGGAAATTTGCTTTGAAGAACCTCTAACAGCTCTCAAGTCGCCCATTGATGAGTTGAGGGAAAGGCCGACTATTTCGTCCAATGTTGCAGCTCTGTGATGGATTTCCTCCTTAGGCTCTTCTTCACCCGCAGCCTTCGTCCTTGGTGACCAACAAAATATGAAGTTGCTTGTTCTTGCATCTATGCCCCAGGACGTTCTTTTCATCACATTTATAACAAAGGCCTTTTGTACGGCGTTGTTGCATCTCTTCTTCCAAAATCCGACGGTAGCTTCCTGCTTCAACCCCGATGGACTAGAAACAGCCAGCATTAGTGACTTTCCCCTCACTTCTCCGCCTCCTAGTGGGTTATTAGACTGAAGGAAGCTCTCCAAAAAGTAATGTTGCGTGGTCGGTCCCTCACTAAATCAATATGAACGCACCAAGCCACCTGCTCGACCAAACTTCATTCTCCTCATCTTTTCTACCGCCTCGTTCCTATCTTATCTCCATAACTTCTTGAAGTGTTGTGGGACGATGCATCTTCACCTCAGCTCACACATCCTCCCGGAGTCCATTAAGAAAGACCCCTTTGTAGAAGACACTTCTCAAAACAATCGACATAATCAGCCATCGTTCTGCTTTGCTTAAGTGCCATTAGCCTTCCGTCGGGTCACCCTCATGAGCTCGACTAAACCATGTCAAGATTGCCGCCATGAATTCACGCCATCCCACAAACGGGTCTTGGGAATCGGTCCACCGAAAAAAATTCAAAGCTTGACCCTCCATACACATCGACATCGCCGACACCTTGTCCCTCTCCGGCACCTCATACATGTCGAAATAATGCTCCGCTCTAAAGAGCCAGCCATATGGATCCTCCCTGGTGAATTACTCCAGCAAATGGATAGAATCGGGGGATTTTTTATTAATCAACTCCACTAAACACCGATTACACTACGAACAATAGAAAAGTAAAGATAGATCGGAGAATTTGAGTACTCTAGAGACTCCTAAGTGGTGGTATTCGAGAGACCACTAGCTCTCCCAAGTGTTTCCCAAATTCAACACAAGTCTAATCATGATCCTCTCCACCCTTAAACCCCCTATCTATATAACAAAAGACTACTGAATAATAGAAAAAACTAACAAAGCCACAAAAACCAACAAGCTAGCTATTAGGTCTCTAACATAAGACTTCAAGCTAAAAAAGTTAGGCCTCTCTGTACTTGACTCGGACAAACTACTTCATCTTGTCCAAGCCAGTCATTCTACATGATAAAAACAGGAATAAAGCTATGTTAATTTCCAAGGCAAAGTTAGTATTGAACTTGAAAGAATGACTTCTCATCAACACTTCAACCAAAGGTACTAGAACAACAAAATTATCCCCAAGGGGTGGTATTGGTTGCAAAAGGCAAGTCCCTCACAACTTGTTCTCACCTTGCCCAACAAGAGATACTTCCATTTCATTCTATGACACCTTCACATATTTGCGGAAATAAGTACATGGACGTCAATGGTGTCTGAGTAGTGGTGCGCTAGTGGTGCGCGGCGTCGCGCACCATTGACGCCAGAATAATAGTGCTAGTTAGATACCACTGAACACCAACATCATCGAATCATGGCTACCAAACACTGGATACACTGACACATTAAACATGGATACTCTGAAAACTTCCAAACATTAGTAGACATCTGAAAGTAGTATGATCATTAATTCTAAATCACAACTATAATTGAGTATGCATAACATGAAATTTACTTCAAAAAGGGGGTGGTAAATGGTAATAGCCATATGAACACAAAACTGTGCTAAAATACCCCACAAAAATCCTTAAAAATACTTGCATTTCCTGCAATTCAAACAAAAATCCTGGTAATTCTAGTCAAATTTCCAAAAGAGAAGAGCATTAAAATCCGAACTTTAACCGAAAAGTATAAATGCTTCCAAAAAACTTAATAAATCAGCGATTTTTAACCCCAAAAGGAGACGTAATCAATCAAGCTCTCGTCTTTCGCCGAAGCTGCTTCATGCGCTTCTTATACTTATGCTTGCTCATCTTCCTCCTCCTCTTCTTCTTCGTACTATCAGCCCAAACCGTCCTCGCGTCCTCGGCCTCGACGACTCCAAATGGCGGAGAAATAGAGCGCAGGCAGTATCCAAAGGGGAAGTTGGGGAAAATAATTTGCGAACTCCGAGAAGATTCGGCCATTTCTCGGGAAATTAGGGTTTCTGCTGGTTCCCAATTGGGGGTTTCGGAATTGGTGAGGTGGGAGATGAGAGAAGGCGTGGGTTTTGGCGCCAAGCGGGTGGTGAGGGAAGCCAGGAGTGTTGGAGAGGGCTTGGTTTTGGTGAGTATGTGAAGGAGGTTCGCCATTTTTGGGCGGTCGAAGAAGGTATCGGAGTTGCAGAGTGATTGGAGGAAGATGAAGAGTGAGAAGGCCACAGGGAGGTTCGACTAAGTCCCACTCGGAGACTGAGTTTCCGGCCGAGTAAAGAGAGAGAGAGGGCGAATTTACGTGAATTGTGAGGGATTGTTTTCTGCCTGGAAGGCGACAGTGTGGTGAGAAAATATGGAGATCCTTTTGAGAAGGAATTATATGTCGTATTCGTTTAAACACGACAGCAAAATTTAACAAAAAGATAATATGCCGTTTACTGAAAGGATAAGTCGTTTATGTTAGAGGGCAACAAACAATAGTAATCTGTTGCTTTCTTTAAAACGACAGTAATAAATCGTTTAACAAATCAAACAGCAGAAAATGTTTAGGGGAAAAAAAAAACCACAAAAAAACTTCACAAATGGCAAAACAATTATACTCGTCATAAATGACACGTCGTTTTCCTTATAGAAGCAAAAATATTAAATACAAATTTGTCGTTTTTTCTTATATGGACACCGGAGTTTAGAGAAAAATTGTTACCATGCGTCTCATGTTACTAATTTGTATTCCGATTTTCTATCATATTCAGGGGATTAAGAGTTGGAAAATTAAAAAATTTATATTAAGATTTGTATTGCGATGCTGAAACTTTTTATCAAACGTGGTTTTTTGTCATCAATTAATGCAATCATTAAAATGGGCACATTGTAATAGTTTTGTAAGGTTTTTAAATTATCAAAATTAAAAGTGATAGTTGCTAAAACCTTTACGAGTTAAGGGGCAAATATGAAAAGTACTCGTAATATACATATGCAAGCCTTCCGCTGTTGCGCGGGACGGCCAAATCGAAATAACAAAACGGAGGCGCGAAGACAGCACCGCCATTATCGATCGTCTGAGTTCTGCAGATTTTCCTCCCATGGAAGTCAACTCCTTCGATCCCGTAATTCTCTCTCACTCCCTCTGATATCTTCCATTCTCAATTTCATTTTTCTCTGATTAATCAATCGATCTCAACTTCTCCGCTACAGGATCTGATTCACTCCATTTTCAAGCTGGTCTGGACCAGAAGAGCTCTCGGTTTGGATTTCTCTCTGTTTTTCTGCTTCCTTTTCCGATTTCAATCATTAAGAACGTCTTCTTGCTCAACACTTACTCTTTTTTTTTTTTTTTGTTGTTGTTGCAGAGCGTGAGAAAAACGAAAGCGCCGATGCATTGGACTCCGAGGTAAGTCTATTTCCTTAGCGAGGTATCTCTTCGGTTCGTTTTTATGCGTATCGATTTTAAATATAATTTCATCTGATGTAAAATTTCTTTGCTGTTTCTAAAAATTATGGAAAATTTGTCCGAAATGTATAAAATAGTTGTTAAGGACAAAGATTGGGGATTAGAGACTACTGCCCGGAAGATAGCTGAAATCTGATTCACGAAATTGCTATTTAAATGTGTGAAAACTGAATTTAGGAAGGAATGTTAATATATGGACACAAATTGGTTTGAAATTTTGAAGTGCTTCTTATATATTGCGTTTGGTTAATGATTTCCTTCTGTTTTGCTCTTGCTTTTTGTTAGTACGACCTTCTGTTTTAATTATATTGATTGCTTGTTAGAGTTTTGAAGCCAGTCAAGGTAGATTAGAGCTTGTGCTTGTGCATGACTTAAATAGCTTTTTTTTTTAATTTATTTAATATTTGCTCTTTGTTGCTGTCAAAATGTAGTTATTAGTCACCAATAAAGTTTGACTCGTTTCCAGGCAGGAGCTGGGGCATCGAAGAAGAGTCGTCCGACTAGCGGTATACCTCATTTTAATTCTGTCTTGATATTGCTCCACTTTTTGTTTTAAGCTAAGCTTTGTTCTTGGGATTTTTATGCTTACGTTTCACATTTCTGATGCAGCAAATGGAAATGCACTGAAATTGAGTTGTGAGTTTCTCCGAATTTTTGTTACAGGTTTGTATATCTGAATAGTACTATGATGCTGGTGATTCAGTCAATTTTGCCTTTCTGTCGTGCAAATTTCTGATGATAATGTTGAATTGAAGCAGAGGCTGTGCAGCGTGCTGCTGCGATCGCGGAAGCAGAGGATGTCAGTAAAATTGAAGCGACTCATTTGGAGAGAATTCTTCCTCAGTTACTTCTGGATTTTTGAGGTATTTAAGGAAATATTAACCAATGAATTCTCATATTAGCTGATTACTATGCTTTTTCACCCCCTTCCCTTGAAGAATTAAGGGCGTGTTCTTTTGGAGTGCGACTTGAGTGTAGTTCTTAAGTTGAATTTGAGTTATAACTTGAGTTTGTGTTTGGTTGTGTACATTTAAGTTATAGTTTGAGATAAAAATATTTTTGAGTTTGTGTTTGAGTAAGTCAAAACGTGAATTTGTATTTAGATAGTATTTTAATAAAGACTTAATGGTGATGAAAAATTTTAATAGGGTATATGGGTGGAGTTTTATTCGTTTTTTCGTTGTCAACGCATAGAAAAAAATCATCTCAATCAGGATTAAAACGAAAAATTTATAACATTTTTAAAAATAGAAAAAATACTGTTAATTAATTTGAGTTCGAGTTTCTGAACTCGAGTTGAAGAGAAAACTGGAACTCGAGTTTTAGTCCTAAACTCGAGTTCAAACTCGAGTTTAAACTCGAGTTCAAACTTAAAAAAACATGAACTTAAATAAAATTTGAACTCGAGTTGCATGTTATTGAGTTTTTGAGGCCGCCAAACAAGGCCTAAAATGCTTGGTACATTCTTCTGTACATGAAGACTGAAAGCAGTTTTTCGGATTCGCAGTATCTCCCAATTATCGTTTTGCATTTTTCTCTAAAATTCTATACTTGGATTTGAACTTCTGTGCTTAGACATATTTGCTTAGCTCAGTAATTGCCAGGTCAATATTTACCATCTGCTTGGATAACATTAAAGTTGTATGGATTGCTATAGAACCTCATTGATGGACTAATTAAGAACCTAACTTTCTCTTTCCAACTCCTCTTGTATTAAGTTCAAAAATAGTTTTTGATTTTTGGTAGTTCTTAGGATGTATATGTAGTTATTAGAGAGTAAGAGAAGAAAAGAGACTGGAGTTGATCACCGCCTATGGTGTCAGAGTCTGGATCTCTTTCTTAGTGTGTCTTGTGAAGTAAAGCTTTTCTATGTTTGAGAAATAACAGATGAGAGAGACTCTTCAGAAAGTAAAGAGGACTATATATTGGAGAGCAAAACAGAAAATTGATTGGTTGGTTGCTTTGGAAAAGTCACCTTTCAGAAGTTTGAGGGATAAGAGTAAGAGCACTTCCGCCAACTTTTTTTCTAGTGGGAATTGCATTGTGGAAATATACTTTATTGTTTCTTTAGAACGAGCACTTTAATTTTAAGCCTACCATTTTTCTTCCTCTTTTTTTTTTTTTTTTTTTTTTTTTTTGGGTGTTAAGGCCTTCAAGAAGATTTTATAATTGCTCAGTCAAATTAGAAAGCATGTTATCATCATTCTGGACACGATTGATTTCCAGGCTTATCCAAAATTCAGTAATAACAACAAAGCATGTGGTTTAATTCTTTCTTTGACCTAATTATCGATTAGAAGATTTCGCTTGGATGAATTGCTATTAGTTTGATATCAATAATAGCAGTCGTTTCAGTATGATAAGAATACATATATATTTGCAATTTAAAAATGAACTTAAGCGTGCACTGAAAAAAAGTGAAATACGGATTGATTTTATTTCCCGTACTATATTGCAAATATGAAGACAAAGAGATTTTAATTTATTCATACGTCCACACTTTTTTGTATATATGTCGATTAGTGCCAATTCAACATAAATTCTTAGTTTTTGTTTTTCATTTTTTAATAAATTGAAAATTTTAATTAAATGATAATCCACTTTTTTATTATTTTATTCATTATTTATTTTTATTATTAGTCTATTCTAAATTTTTATTGGTATATGTATATTAGAATTTTAAAATTTTGAAAATTTAATAGAAAATTGAATATTTTAATATTTTATAATAAAAAATAGACCAATAAAAATAAGGATTATTATTGAAAGTGTTACGGTAAAATCCTAATAAAAAGTTTTTATTCAGCAATTTTAATCTTTCTTAAATATTAAATATATATATATATATATATTAAATATGGCAACTACTTCAATCTGGACGATTGAATGCCACAGTTATTCCATTTTCTTTCTCACTCTATTATTAATTAATTTAATTTTTCACCTGCAAACTCGAGTTCTTAGTTTGACTAGGTGAACCCATTTTTATTATTTTTTCTTTTCTAATTTATTTTTACTATAAAAAAAAGAAGAGAAGGGGATGGATTAGTCACGGATATTTGATTGTATCTCTAATTTTCTTCATCTGGGATTTTTTTTTTTGGCTGGAAGATTAAAAAAAAATCTACATGTTTTTGTGGTTAAAATTAATAACAGGATCCAGGGCACTTTATCTTCTTGTTGCTCCTATCAATCGGGGTTCAAGTTGTCTGATTTTATCCTTCTTTTGTTCATTTCCCTTATTGCCTAACTCCGTATAATTCTTTGTTAAAGTCTATCTGTTTATATCCAAACTTAAATCTGCAGATACCTAGATAGCGTGCCCTCCAAGTGAGTGAAAAACAAACATGTAAACCTTATAATTAAGCTGGTTGATGTTTGCACAATAAAAAATATCTAAAATTAATATTCATCTTGCTTAACAATAACAGCGCCACATAATACTTAATAATTCCCTTAACAGAAGCATCATTTTACACCTGCTGCTGACATACATCTTGCAACTCTTATTTATAGTTAGATGGAGTTTTTAACTCCCCACGCATTCTTAACATCTACACACTAATGTTTGATTTGAGACAACATACACCTTACATTCTTGCTGTCGGGCCTTTCTTTTGGATTATCCTGAGTGCAAAAGCAAGCAATCTTCAAAACCAAGAGCATTTGCTCCTCATAGCCATTTCCCATGAGCTTTGGGTCGATTGCTCTCTGAGGATTTTCTGAAGTTATTACACTCCTCACCCACTTAACCAAACCAATCTCAGGTTGTTCTTGGAAAAAATTGTCTGATGGATGCTTCCCCAGGACTAGAACCCCAAGCAACACCCCAAAGCTATACATGTCACACTTGTCCGTGAACTTGAGTGTTTGGTGGTACTCTGGCGCTATGTATCCCAGAGTTCCTGCAACATTGGAACTCGTCATATGCGTGTAAGCATCGGGAATTGCTTTCGCAAGACCAAAATCTGCAATTCTGGCTTCCATATCATCGTCAAGAAGGACGTTTCCGGGCTTGAGATCTCTATGAATTATACGCGGTTTATGGTCCATGTGTAGATATTCTAGCCCGGAAGCCACTCCTAAAGCAATTTTATGCCTCGCAAGCCAATCTAACTCCCTTCTTCCTTCTGCTACGTCATTCAGCGTGTCTTGTAAGCTGCCATTCTTCATGAATTCATAGATAAGGTAGTGGCAGTCAGGTCGAGAAATATGAGCCAATAAAGGAAGCAAATTCCGATGTCGAATTTGACCGACAGTGGTTATCTCTGATCGAATTTGACGCATTTTCTTGTTTAGAAGTCTGCTATCTTCGTCCGTCAACTCTGCGGCATCCTTGGGGGGTTGAACTACCTTCTTTATAGCAATCCATTTCCCATTGCTTCCCGGCAATTCAGCTTTGTAAACTTCTCCGCAACCACCACTTCCTATCAACTCTAATGAAGCAAGGCCATCATTCTTCTCCAAGAAAGCCAAGTCCTCTTTCTTTTTGATGAGAGGACTAAATATTGCAGGACCTGAGTCCTTACCCCCACCTTTGACCAGAGACAAGAGCAGCTTAAATAGTAGAGAGAGAATAAATCCCGATATGCAACCAGCAAAAGCTCCGGCCAAAAATCCCAGAATCCACCCTATTACCTTCTTTGTGTGATCTTTGTGCTTCTTGTGGTGTGCGTGGGTTGGAGATGGAGCTGGAGCATTAGAAGATTTACTCGCTGAGGGTCCAGATACGTTAGAGTTTCTATTGCCCCCTGAACTACGCTCAGCAAATATGTAGCGTTTTGGTTTTGGAATGCCAGACGTTGACTGCTCGACCCTCTTCAATTCAGGCAATGAGCCTTCGAGGAACTGATTTCCAGTGAAGTTGAAGAACCTGAGATTGCGAAATGAACGAATCGACGCTGGGATTTTCCCAGCGAAGAGATTGTTGGCAATGGAAAGCTTTTCGAGGTTGGGAAAGTACTTCAAGAAACTCAGGTTGCCAGAAAGCTTATTGGAGGAAAGATCAAGTACTCGCAGGCGAATCAAGGACGACAGGTTCGCTGGAATCTGCCCGGAAAACTTGTTGTTTCCGAGGTTGAGGATTTCTAGCTTCCTGCAGTCAACTATCTCGGCTGGTATTTGGTCAACGAGGTTGTTGCCCGAAAGAGAGAGCTCTTTGAGCTCGGAGAGCCGTCCGATCGCCGGAGACAGGCTCCCTGTGAGTTGCTGGGATTTAAAGATGAGCCGGGTGATCTTCAGAACATAATTATTGTCATCAGACAACCTCCTCTCGCAGAACACCCCGGGGATGTTGCATGGAGCGGTGGAGAGCTGGAGTTGACTTGTTATTCCCAAGTCTTTTTGGATGATAGACAGGGCTTTGAGATCTGAAGTGTCTAAAGTTGGTCTCCCATGGATGAGGACCAAGCTACAGAGGAAGGTGAGTAGAGAAAGGCAGGTTTTGGCCGGGAAGGTTGCCATTACAGGCAGGTTCTTCTGTTGGTTGATAAGCAGGTTTTTAGGAGTTCATATTCCATATTGGTTGGTGGGTTTTGATTGTTCTTATAGGGTGCAGCTTGTGGAAAAAAAGCAACCAATTGGGGCCCACGTTTTAATTTTGGTGTCCGGGGTGGAATTTGTATACTCGGTGTCTGGTTTAGACTTTTGACCACCATTAGTTAATAAAGGAATGGCACTATTAACTTACCAAAAGAGTATAGTTAACTAATATAGGATGAATTCCAATGCAGTTTATAGTTTATATTGCATGTCTTTTTTTTTTATTTTACAGTTCAAGTCCAAATCTAGTTAACGTGGATGTTAGGAGGACATTTGTCATTTCCAGATGTTTCCCTTGTCTGTAACACTTCAAATAGGATGGAATTCAAGACTAAACTATGTTTTAGTAACTTAAATATATTTCATCCGTTGAATTGCCAGGAGGAATTGACGACATAATCAGATTGGCGAAAATATATTTATTTTTAGACTCACTATATCCTTGAAGTTGAATTATAATGTATATTCTTGAAATTGAATTAGTTTAGACTCCGTTCATTTCACTGATTTGAGTTTAAAAGTCAAGTTTTGTTACAATAAAAAGTTCTTAAAAATAATTAAATTTAACTTTTTTACTATAATAAAAAACTCACATAAAATTACATCTCAACTCGAATCAGCAAACTAAACGGGTCTTTAATTATGTTGTACACTAATCAGCAGAGTTTGTATACAAATTCCATTTTCTACACTATTGACCTTAGTTCAAACTTCAAAATACACTCCCAGTACGTATAGTCTAGTGCATTATTGGTAGACTATACATGTACATTTAATAGTCCTCATCTTTGAAAAATTCAGCACCAAGCACCTTTGCGGACGACCCAATGTCTTTCTCTTTTTTTTTTTTTTTTTCCTTCATTCTATACGCTATAGAAAGTAGCCAGTCCAATAAATGTTGTAAACTTCTTCGAAGCCTTGAATGGCTATGTCATTTCATAAAGGCATTCGGCCGGTCAAGTCAACCCATAGAATAGCAAGTCTTCTATGGAAGTTGGACCGTTCGATCGTGTTTGTGTGTAATGTATGGCTTTGAGTTGGACACGTGGCTGGAGATTCCTAACAGCTCAGTCCTGGAATTTGACTTTTTGACTATTTCCACAGCTGGCAGTACGCCGTACGCGGTGGGGGAGTCGGGTTGGTCCCCGCTAACATTCGGGCCCCGCTTTTTTCGTTTCATAATCTCAATCGGATTGTTTTGCATTTGTTTTTTTTTAAACTGTCACTGCTATTAGGAAATGACATTTTTTTTTTATAATTATTAGGAAATGACATCATCAATGTGGTTTGCAAATCACTGTGTCATCTCCTTTTTGGATAATTATACTGTTCCTTTCATGACATTCACTCACTTGCTCTTGAAAATGTTTGGGCGTTTATTTAGTTTTATCTTGATAACCCAAATTAATCCATTGATATCTGTTCCAGGTTATGAATTTGTTCTGTTCATTATTAAATTGAGCACATACATAGATAATGGATAGATAGTTTTTCTTTTCATATGAATATGAGCACTTTTGTGTCAGAGTTTGTTCTCTCATTCTCTAAAATTGTCGTTTTGTTAATCGAGCCTGTTCACTTCACTGATTCGAGTTTGTAATTCGAGTTGAGATGTGATTTTGTGTGAGAGCTTTTTACTGTAGTAAAAAAGTTAGATGTGACCGTTTCTGAGAGCTTTTTACTGTAGTAAAACTCGAATTGACGAAATGAACGGAGCCCTAATGTGAATCGAAAATGGATATGTTAGAATAATATATGAACGTTGAGATAGAAAACCTTCCTTTCAGTTGCAATTCACATGGAAATTGATGGAACATATACCGAAGGGCAGGAGATATATGAGCCTGTTTAGTTCACTAATTTGAGTTTTTAATTTGAATTGAGATATGATTTTATGTAAGAATTTTTCACTGTAGTAAAAAAGTTAGATGTAATAATTTTTAAAAACTTTTTATTATAATAAATTTAAATTATAAACTCAAATCGGTAAAATAACCGGGACTAAATTAATTTATTTTTTTTCTTGACTCCTCCTTATAGTGAGGACCCACGACTCTCTTTTAACGACTTTTCACTAGAAAACAAAAAGGGGAAGACTTGTGAGTCTACCCTGGCGTTCCAATTGTTGAAAAATGAAAACAGTCTTTGTTTTTTTTTTTTTTTTTTGGTTGTTGAAAATAGTTGGCTTATCAAATTTAAGCATAGTGAAAAATAGAGCCGGCCCAAAATTAACTAATGCTTTTTTCTGGGTAGTTTTTTTTATTTTTATTGCTTAGTATAACGCCTCGTTCTGTGATTTATACTTGCTTAGAGAGAAAACTGATAAGGTTTTCCAAAGTCTTTGGCTTGGGGCTCTCTAAAGGGAAAGCCGAAATTGAATGCTTTGTCTGGCTTTAGTTCTGAATGTTACTATTGTGGGGTCGTAATTTCATTGGTGAAAAGCAATCCCCATTAACGAAATATCTTTTTTCGTTATAGCATGGAAAACGAAAGTTGCACTCGTCCTATAACAATAGGAAAAAGTCTATTTCTTTCTCAATTCTAAAAGTTGGTTTTTCTTCTCTGCGGGTCTTTTGGGTCAGGGCAGTTAATGAGAAGATTCAACTTGCAATCCCATTGGTAGTTAGGAAATTCGTGTTTATTATTTTAGCAATTATTGTTTTGCATAGTGGGCCATATTTTGATACCATGAATTTCCATTACACAATTTTTCTCTGTGACACAAGAACTCAAGGTATAGGCAAGTGGTAATCAATTTGGAGTTTGGAGTTTGTTGCATTCTTTAATTTGACCACAATAGGACAAGAAAAGGGGGAGAAAAAAAAGAAGCAAAAAAAAGTGGAGACGAATGTTTATTGAATTATTTACACCTCGTTCATTTAACCGATTTGAGTTTTCAGTTTTAGATTTTTACAGTAAAAAGTTTTTAAAAAAATGTCACATTTAACTTTTTCTACTATAGTGAAAAATTTTAAAAAAATATCACATCTCAGCTCGAATTAAAAACTCGAATTTATGAAGTGAACGAATAGCTTCTATTTAAGAAAACGCTAGTACGTAGTACCATTACAATTTTCCAGTAAGGAATTCCGCTCTCCAACCAGCTTTTCTCATTGTTGTAAATTGTGAGTTTATGATGGAAGGTAAGCACTTTTGTGAATGATTACCCATGCTTATTTCCTGGGTTAAGTAGCTTTGATTGTTTGACCAATGACTGTTGTTGTCATTGTTGACTTCATTTTTAATATTTTGTTACCTGGAAAGCTTGACTAATGAAAATAACAACGTGATTAGACAAGATCTCTACAGATTATGAGAGAGAAAAAAATTGAAAAGTATCATGGATGGATCGTCACTAATTCTTGGTCTACTCCTAGTGACTTTTGTTTTCTATTTTATAATTTAATGAAGACTAATTGTTATGTCACGCATTTTGATGCTTGGAATATGCAATTAGGCAGTTCCAATATCAAGTAGAATATATGATTCTTGGTCTTGAAAATCCAGTCTGATTAAGTTTCAGTAAATAAGTAGAGGTAACTTCATCATTCCAAACTGGAACATATCGCCCCTTCACTAAACTTGGTCATTATTTTATCGGTTTTTCTCATAACATTGGCGTTGTGACGGTGAAAATAAACTTGTCTTCCTTCACCCTTCCCCTGGAATAAGAGAATGTACAAAGAATAGGATTCAAAAATTGTTATTATTATTATTATTATTTGCTACACTAAAGGAGACAATTATTACTTTAAAACATTACCAGTGCGTTTAGTAGTAGTGGAGAATAATAATGGTAATAAAAATAGGAATAGAATGAAAAAAAAATCTAATTCATTTGTTTGATCGTAATTTTAAGAATATTATGGAATAGAATGTAATTATTTTCATTTGGTCATTTGGACGAAGCTACCCTTTCTTAAATATATACATATATACAACAATTCTTTTTAGCAAAATAAAAAAAAAAAAACATAAAAAAATATTTAACAAAAATTTGCAAAAGACGAGTCTTTGCCGATTTCCCTTTTGCTTTACCAGCTCTGATACAAAATCACTAGTTTCTGTCAATCTCTAACAAAGCTTGAATGCTTTATCTTTCCTTCAATCTACAAAATCACTAGTTTCTGTCAATCTCCAACAAAATTCGAATGCTTTATCTTTCCTTCAATCTACAAAATCACTAGTTTATGTCAATCTCCAAAAATAGATAGTAATTGTTCATTTAGGGTGACGTTTGGTTTTTGAGTTTAAAATAATGTTTATTATTTTAATTTTTAAAATTTAAATTTTTTTTGAGAGAAAAATAATGTAGTAAAATTAATAATTATAATATTAAATTAGACATAATTCTTGAAATAAACGTCACTTAAAATGATTAAAATGACGATTCATCTTTTTAAAAAGTAACTAAACATCATATTCATATTCTTTTTCATTCTTTTCCTTTCTTTTTTCCCAACCAAACTTACCCTATGGAGTATATATCGCAACTATGATTGGATGAATTTGCCCGTGTGTTCGTTGCTACTTTTTTCTTTCAAGTCTTTGGGAATAAAATGAGAGGTAGAGAAGGAAAAAGGGAAAGGGGTTTCACCTGAAAAACGATATATGAATAACGTATCTTGCTAGATCTATTAGAAAAATGCACAAAAGTTGACTAAAGCGAATTTAAGAAAATAATAATAGACTTTGTGGGGCACTAGTTGTTTTGTTCAGACATGCTTTTGAATTTGTCTAAAATTGTATTTTAGACTCTGTTTCTCATGGTCTTTCTAAGCTGTAATTACTAATTTATGTTTAGTTTATGGATTCAGAATCATTCTCGATTTGCGTGTTTTTTTTTTTTGTGTGAAAAAATATTATAGCGAGCGACGAACCATGATCTAAACTATAACACGAATCCACCAACTAAATACAAATCTAAAATTTTCAGCGCCTGATATTGTTAATTAGAACTTAGCTATTGTAAACAATCTCCATTTAAGCAAAGAAACAAGTTTGATTATCCCGGTTCTATCTAAAATTTTCAGCGCCTGATATTGTTAATTAGAACTTAGCTATTGTAAACAATCTCCATTTAAGCAAATAAACAAGTTTGATTATCCCGGTTCTACGTTCCTCAAAGACAATAGAGACCTAGTTATATCTAAAGCCTCCATTTTTATTGTCTATTAATTTATATCTAAAGCCTCCATAGATTAGGGGATTGCATAGTTTAATTAATTAATTAATTAATTATTTTTTGGTGGCATAGCGTGGAAAGAATAAAAAAGAGAAGGATTCTGCAAAATTGGGAGATTAATAGCTGTTTTTTTTTTTTTTTTTTCCTAGTACATGAATTTTCCTTTTTATTTAGTGGATGTAGTAAGGGCTCGTTCTTTTGAGAAGATGTTGGGTTTGATCTAGTTCAATCACATACAAATATTTTGCCGTCTTAAAATGAATAAGTATGTAATTCTATGTGTCCTTTGACTCACATTAACTTAAAAAAAAGAAAAAATTGTTATTAAAGAACGCGTTTAAGTTGACACCCATTAAATAATTCGTTCTATATTAAATTTCTCACTCTAATTATTGATAAAAAGAAAAAAAATTTAAAAATAAAAAAATTTAAAAATAAAAAAATTTAAAAATCAAGCCACAAGGGCTAAGGTTAACAAATAATTAAAAATCAAATATTTTGCTGTCTTAAAATGAATAGGTATGTAATTTTATGTGTCTTTGACTCACATTAACTTGAAAAAAAAACTGTTATTAAAGAACTTGCTTAAGTTGACACTCACTAAATAACTCGTTCTATATTAAACTTCTAACTCTAATTATTGATAAAAAGAAAAAAATTTAAAAAATTAAAAATCAAGCCACAAGAGCTAAGGTTAACAAATAATTAAAAATCAAATATTTTGCCGTCTTAAAATTAATAGATATGTAATTCTATGTCTCCTTGACTCACATTAACTTGAAAAAAACTGCTATTAGAGAACCTGCTTAAGTTAACATTACTAAATAACTCGTTCTATGTTAAACTTCTCACTCTAATTATTGATAAAAAAGAAAAAAAAATTAAAAAAATTAAAAAAAATTAAAAATCAAGGCACAAGTGCTAAGGTTAACAAAAGCGAATAGAAAAACGACCTTGCAAAAAGCAAAGGAAACAACAACAATGAAAAAAGATCTGCTCTCTTCATCAAGAAAATTAAGTGAGACCTAGTTAAAACTCTCTAGCAGAAAAACCTAGTCTGGAAAAAAAAAAAAAAAAACTCTTATATTAACTTAAAAAAAAAATTTGTTTCCTTGTTCAATTGGTTTAAACGGGAGTTACATAGGCCTAATTTTTTACTAGTCTCAGGACAGCCAAATTCACTGGGCTAAGGTCCAAAGAATATTCCTTCCAAATTATAAACATTCGACCCAAATGCATGTAACATTTTAGCTTTAGTTTTAGTTTGACAAATTAATCAATAAGTATAGAGAGAGAGAGAGAGAGAGAGAGAGAGAGAGAGAGAGAGAGAGAGAGAATTTAGTACTCAATATGGTATAAAGGTACTATTCTTGTACTATCTTAGACACCAAACGTAGAAGTAGCACAGACTCAATAGCTAGAGTCACAACACATTTTACACCAAACATCTTCTTAGTATTACAATGGCAAACCTATAAAGCTTAGAAGGAAATATGAGAACAACAAACATCACAAACCAAACATAATACATCAGACTAAAAAAGTAGACGCATACTCATACAACCACACAAACTCTTTATCAATCGGTGCAGCAGCGGAACATGAAGAACTTCTCCATCTCCCGCCCACACTCCGTGCAGACCACCTTCTGCGGGATGTCCTGCCCGAGCCCCGGAAGGATCAGGCGGGTGCAATGCTGCGGCGAGTGGCGCTTCTTCAGCTCCTCATCGTATGCCGGGATCAATCCCATCTGCTTAGCCTGAGTCTCCCATTGCTGAAACTCTTTCAGGGTCTGGAGCGCCAGCTGGCCATTGGCTCGGGCCATCTCCGACTGGCCACGCCAGACCGAGACCCAGCCCTGGTCGCTGCCGTCGTAGCTGAGCAGGGTCATGATCTCCTTAAGCACCGGGTCGGCCTCTATGGTCTTCCCGTACCGTGCTTTCGAGCACCTCATGCTTTCGAGCCTGGACCAGAAGAACCAGATGGATGTCATCTCGGGCCAGATCTGGCTGAGGCCTTCGGTTTCAATGGTGGAGTTAATTTTCCGCAGCCGCTCTTTTGGCACGTTGCTCTTCCCGACGTAGATCATCTCCAACTGGATGCCGAGAGCCTGTGCCACTACCTTTGCTCTGCTGGTGAATTCTCTGATCCAATTAATGTCGTCGCCTCCGTACAGGCATATGTATTTCCCTTGCGCAATCTGACGAAATGAGAAGATATTAGTATATTTTCAAACACTACCATATATGATTACGCGTGATTTAACTAAATTTGGATAGTGATCAGTTACTGTTATGTTATTGTGTGCGATTTGACTAAGTTTGTGTAGTGATCAATCGCTAAATTTGTGCAATTGATCAAATGAGCGAGTATTAACATATTTTCAAACACCATTATCATTCGACTGTGTGTGATCAATTATTACTATCTGATTATGTGTGATTTAACTAAATTTTTGTAGTGATCAAACACCGCTATCGTATGCCTGTGTGTGATCTAACTAAATTTCTGCGGTGATTAATCACTGTAGGAAAGTGTTCTTTTGTATGATAAAGTATCATATTCATGAAGAAAATTAATTGAGAAATTATTGACGAAGATATGAAAAGTACCCATTGAAGTATTTCAGCATCAATGCCATCAACAAGAAGCTTCAGAGTCCAACTCTCTGCATCCCACAATGCTTCCTCTTTCCCATCACTGAATGGGAAGGCCGCGTTGCCCCAGATCCACATCATGTGCGCGGCATTTCTGGAGGACACCTTTCCTTGTGGGTCCAATGACACTAGGATCAATTTCTTGTCGAAATTCCACTTCTCTCTGATGTATTTAACAACCGGAGGCTCGATTATCTGAGGGCTGTGCACGCTGTGCCATGGCATCAATGTTAGCAGATCCGAGAATTTCTTTTGGTGACCTTCATCCCAACTCACTATCCTATCCACAATTGGGATCCACACCAGCTCGTATGAAGCACCTTTCACGTGAACATCGTACATCCCATCGTGCTTCAGCCTCATATCATACGTGCTGTAAAGAATTGCAATCTCTTCGTGCGATAGATCAAGATCAGAGATCAGAAGCAGCACATGCTTTCTCCTTAAGCCGTCAATGCTAACCTGTGTTTGATTCGGTTTAGTGTATTATTGAGATTACTGATTCAAGGAAATGCAGTGAGTGAGTTTCAGAAGAGTGAATTACCCTTGCTTTCGGGTTACCGAACACGAGGGGCTGATCATCCCTAGTGGAAATCAAAGCCTTGAGAACCTTCATGTTGTCCAGATGGGCGATCTCAAGAAGGCGTATGAGGTTCCTGTATTCCTCTTCATATCTCCTTTCCTCTGAACCCCATTTAAATTTTATTACTTATTCATCAGTACTTCATATGACAATTTCAGAAGGGAACTAAAAGAGACATACATTTTGTAACAAGCATCTACAAGAGTAGTTTGAAGGTTTAGCAGTGAAAAGTTGAGTGTACTGTTTAAGCTGATCTCCAACTTTATGTAAGAGATAGTGAGATACTTTGTATTTGTATTTCTTGGAATGAATGGAAAAGGTCTTACCTATAAATTTACGGCAACCGTCAAGTTCTGCAGCAAGGAGATCATGAATATTTTTCAGCTTATGAGCCGAGCTTGACAATTCCCATATCTCCGAGGTTGATGACATGTGCCTGCGATGTGTAGATAAATAAACATAGCTTCAATTAATTTTCCAAAATGTTTTAAGATTGAATTTTAATATGTCGTCGTTTTCTAGTGCCTTACTCGTATCTAATATCCGTGAAGCTAGCAACCTGCCAGGCACAAGCGACTACGCTCCGAATCGTCCAATAGGCTGCAGAAGGAATATGAGCCCTTACAACTGCTACTTGTGGCGAGTCATGTGGAAGGTACTCTGTTGGTAGCTCATTGAACTCGATGATTCGTTTTGTCACGTTGACAACGGCGTTGAGGAGCTTGTTGATTGCTTCGAGTTGAGGCTTCAGTGCTTGGGAATTCTCTAAGATGTCCGAGACTTGCTTCAGGTGGGCCACAGCCTTGGCCAGTGGAGTTGTTGTGCAGAGCTGAGCCACAAGCCAGAACTCGCCATAAGTGGTGGAGAAACCAGCCAAGGTTAGGACCACTTTTGCTTCCCATGGATAGTTTGAAAGCATCTTGAATAAAGCCAGAGTTGATCCATGCAGATCTCCTCCTGAGCACTTGCAAAACATCTGCCAAAACAAGTAATTGAATAAGTCATTTTTTTTGGGGGGGTTCCTTTTCACTAGCAAGTAATTGTTCTCTAGCCACTTAATATAGTTGTTTTCCCCTTAATGCAACTTATTAGAAAGGGAAAAGAAGAACCATTTTGCTTGGGAAAGACAAGGAAGACTTGCCTTCTTTTAAAAAGAAGTATGCTTTTACTGTAAAGAGGAATGCTTTTATGAGGAAAATGAGTACTAATAAACTGGTTCATTTAAAACAAGGAAATTATAGCCAGCACTAGGAAATAGAATACAAATAATTTTGAAAGGAACTACAATGTTAAATTCCGAACTTCAACCGACCTCGCAGGAAATCTTATGAATAATTTGACACAGTCCATCCAACATGTCATCAAAAGTAGCCACAACGGCTTTGTCATCCAATAATGCGTCATGTGTGCCCTGCAATCAAGACTAAAGCAAGTCACCCACCAAACACAACGAAACAAAAACACTCAAGACAACTTCTCGAAAGTGTAAAGTGTAGAGAGAAATCTTATTCTTGAGACAAACTTGACTTTAGCACAGAAAAAGTGGAAGAGACAGGAGAGAAACTATACATTTATGATACCATCGATGCCAGGAGCAGCCCTGCGCAAAATGTCCTCAATGACATGGAGAACAGGTCTGACGTCGACGAGGTAGTGACTCTCCGCGTTATGAGTCTCGCGGATCTGCTTCACCAGCATGTTGTCATCAGATTGGTTGAACCTTCTTTGCATCGGGTCTCTCTTGGCAGGGTGAGGAACCAATGCCTGTTGGAAATTGGTGGCCATGATGATCTTTTTTTTTTTTGTTTTTTTTTGGGAAAATGTCTAACAATGGTTTAAGAGAGGGATAGTGTTTTGTTATGTGGTGAGGAAGATTGAACAAAATGAAAGGTTTATATAGTGATGAGGAAATGGAATAAAGCCTAAATGAACAAGTACCTTGCTTGTGAAGTGAGTCTAAACAAAGCTAAAGCCATTGCATAGTTGGATAAGACTTAAAATTAAATTTGGATATTGTGGTGGCCCTAATTATGTCTACAGTATAAAGGGTCTTGCATGTTTGATGTGTTCAGTCAAAAGGGAATTTGGAAAGAAACTTAGTAGAAAGAAAGATCATGAAACAATCTGAAGATAGCTCAAAGGGAAACTAGCGTTTGTTACACTTAGAGTAACATAAATGATAAGAGGCTATATTCCATATGAAATATACTTTTCACTCATTTGAGATATAACAAGTTTCATCGTACCACGTTTGATATGGATTAATTACACAAATGGTTCATGAGGTTTACACTAATCTCTATAACAAGTTTCATCGTACCACAGATGATCCTTGAAGTTTTATTTTGTTTCAGTTGCGGTCTTTCCATTAACTAAGCGTTAAAATTTGATAGATTATGTGTAAATTAAAGTCTAAAATTAGAAACAGCCAAAATTTGAAGTCTATATGTGAAAATTAACTTTTAGTTTTTTGTATTATTTTAGTCTTTTAAACTTCATATGTTTTCAATTTGTCCATAATTTCTACAGATTCCGTTAAATATTTAACACTAATCTAACAAAATGACCGAAACTGAAACAGAATAAAATTTTAAGGATCAACTTTGTGACGTTTGAAAAATCAAAACTAAAGTAGAATTGATAAGATTAATTATATATATATATATACATATATTTATATATGCATGCTTATATTATATAGTTTCGATGCTTAACACCAAAATGAACCTTTTCTCTTGGTTCTGTTAAAACAAGTCCTTTTCCACAAAAACAGATTTGTTAGGGAGGATCTAATCTATCTACCTTAAGGATTTGGGATTAATTAAGGACAGTTTTGCATTTACCAAAAAGGGATACGGAGAATTGCCATGTTGTGCTGCATACAGTAATAGGTTATATGCAGGAAAGGGGTGCCACTTGGGAGTATTTTATTTCCAAAGAAAAAAGTTTAAAAAAAAAAAACAGAAAAAGGAAAAAGAAAAAGAGGTGAGAAGAAATAAAGAACAATGCTAGGACTATGGTGCTTGCCTATGAACAGTTTGTCTCATGATTGATTTTTCATTGATTCCTCTTTCTTTCTTTCTTTCTTTCTTTCTTTTTTCTTTTTTTTTTTTTTAATGATTCATTGACGCTCGTTTTGAAATTTCTCAGATCTAAGGACTGAAACTCTAGAGATGTAGAAAGAAGAGGAGTTATTTTCAAGGAATCACCAGATCTAAGGACTGAATATGTTATGAATAAGAGGAGAAGTTGGTTTAAACACCACGCAGAAACATTCAATTGCTGTCTGACCTTTTATTTTGAGCTCTTTAATCTTCATACTTGACCATTTTTCTTCTTTAGGTAAAAAATTAGAACTCTTCTAGAAGGGTTAATAATGATTATAGAGAATCAACGTTTACCATTGAATTTCTTAATCCTGTACAAGTACTCAAATTCTTTGTGTATATTTTGTTTGAAGGGTTTGAAGGATCAATAAGTTTTGTTTTTTTTTTTTTTTTTTTTTTTTTTTTTTTTCCCGGGAATTAATAATTAATAAGACAACTCATAAATCTCATTGGTCGAAACATTTAAAAATCTTTTTTAGTAAAATTTAAACTTAGGATGTTCAAATTTATTATTCATCTAATTAGAGTGGTGTCTCACTAGATAAACTCATATGAGTTTCTGAGTTAGAGCTGTCAAATGAATTGTGTTGTGTCTGTACAACTCAATTAAATTTGACACAATTATACTATGGTGTCGTGCTTGACGCGGCCCACTATTTATTCTGACTGACAAGTCCCCACAGACTTGAAACGGCCTATTAGTCCATGTACTTATATGTCGTGCTATGCTGACTCACGTGCTTAATCGTGCTAGCACATTTAAAGCTCATATTGCCCCTTTTAATTCATTAAATTTTGATATTAACTTTCCCTATTGGAATTTTTTCCATAAATCTGAAGGGACTAATTTGGTTTTTGTAAAAAATGATTTAATTACAGATAACGAAGATAATGTAAAAGTTGATTAAAAAACTCAACTATTATTGATATATATATATATATATATATATATAACCATTACGTCTAACTCAGTGACATGTTGGCATCTAATACAGTAACTAATATGAAATTTTAAAAATACAATTCCGATTCTACTCAATGTAAACCTTGAAATATGTAGTATGTGCAAGTAAAAAATCATTTTTCTATTTAGCAAAAAAAAAAAAAAATCATTTTATCTAAAGGCAATGATCATCTGCAGGGTCTAAAAAAGAGAAACAAGGGACACCATGGTAGTTAATTCTTCTATGTCTAGTACAATATTATGATATCACCTTTTCAAATCTGAACTTAGGCCTCATGAATATCTTTTTTGTTTCATTTTGATTAGAATTCGAACCTCGCGTTTACAAGATATACATCGGATTTAAGTTTAATTACTGTTTAATTGCCTCGTGGGACCAAAACTTTACTCTTTTGACAGAAAAAGGAAAAGGAAAAAAGAGACGGAGAGAGAGAGAGAGAGAGAGAGAGAGAGAGAGAGAGAGAGATAAGGAATTATATCGACGAGAAGTACATAATGAGACAATGTTCTAATATCAAGGAATTGATAAAGGCATTGGCATTAAAATTTCCACACGTCGGCAAAAGAAACTAGACATGATCATGATGTTCCAAAAGAAAGGAATTTCGTACGCAAACACATGCAAGGAAATCGTTTTTAATGAACTTTTGATATAATTTCTCTTGTAAAAGCTCTTATTATAATGCTTCTGATATGTGTGTGTGTGTATATATATATATATATATATATCACACTTGAGATTAACCGTCATCCTACGTCTCCATGCATAGGTAAATATTCAAACGTAAGGATTTCAATCCAAAAAGATAAAGAAAAGTACAAACTTAAGCATTATAATAATTTCACGTGCTACACCATATTTACCTGATTTATTTATGTAGTAGCCATAAAATTTATTTCACTTAATTTTTTTGTCTTATTTATCATGATCGTATCCAATGTAATTTCTATAATTTCGAAAGTATCAATTCCACTAGAAAGTTAGAAAAAATTGTCGGTACACTTTGTATTATTCATATAATCAATTTCAATGTTAATGGTTTAGAGAGGAATTTGAATTTTCCATACCTAGTTTCGGTGATGATCCCATAAACCCCATATAAAACTTCTAGCTTACTACACAAACACCCTATCTTTAAGAAAGATAGACATAATCCACATTAACGTTAAAAAAATTATAAAAGTTTCACATTTGATTGGGTACTAAAACTTTAACCCAAAAAAGAAAAACTGAAAACAACTTTTTACTGAAGCAATTTGGAATTAGTACCAGCATCTTTTTTATTGCCGGAGAGGGAATTTCTAAACCCTTTATTACATATACCCATATCACAATATTGCAGAAGAAAATAGAGGTTATCTATTAGAAGCAAAGTAGATGAAGAATTCCACAACTTTAATCATAAACAAATGCCTTTATTGTTCTTGATCCTCTTTTTTTGCATCATTTTTTTTTTCCCTTGATAGGGTGTTCAAGGGATCAAATCCGATATTATTTTTAAACAGCCACCATCCATCCAATCCAATGCACATTAAATGTCGAGATTTGAAAAAACATTTGATTTTTTCACACAATTGAAATTAATATAATATGAACCTAATAATTGAAACAACACATCTAAAACAGTTAATATTCTTCTAAAAACATGTCAATTTAGGCAGTTTCCCGAAAACTTGTGCTTATAAGCTAGACTCATTCAATAAATATGTTGAGCGGGTCCAGGTCAACTCTATCTCTTAACCAGTCATGTTCGTGTCGGCTCATAGCTGATATGTTTTGACCATTTTTAGGTATATTATTGAAAGAAAACAACATTAATGAATAAAAATAGTCCATTTCAAGTTGCTTGATCCATGCTTCTTTGACACGTACTTTTAGTTTGTTTATATTTAGCCACTAATATTTGCTAGTTTATTTTTAGGCATTTAATGATCCGTCTACTAAATCAAATGAAAGGGCAACAAAAACACAATTTGGAGCTTTATCTGGTCGAGTCTAGGACTCTAGCTACTCTAGGATTGAGTTTGATGTTCTTTCCTTTAAACTATTGATATCTAGAGCTGAGTGCTATATTTGTGATTTTTTGGTCATCTCTGCTAGTTGCTTCAGAATCTACTTTTTTTAATTCGAGGCTGCGTACTTGACGTATTTCATAGTACACTATAGTTTGACACAATTGAGGCTCTTTATTTATACAAGAGATTGGTTGTTAGAAAATATAAGTAAATTATATATATATATATATATATATTTATATGAAATGTCTTCCGTCCGGTAAGCATTATTTGCCTGACTGATCCGGCGGAAGACATTATACAAGATTTATGCTGAATTGTACAATTACCATATGTAAATATACAAGACATATGATGAATTGTACAACTTGTCATACAACTTATACATCTTTATAATTGTACAACTTTCATATGCTAAATTGTACAACTTTCATATGTTGAATTGTACAAGACATATGCTTAATTGTACAACGTGTAAATATACAAGACTTATACTTAATTGTACAACTGTCGTTATGTAAATGTACAAAAAATCTCTAAATTGTATAATTGTCGTTCTGATCAGATAAAAAAGATGCCTATCTGACCAAAGACTTTGCCTATATATATATATATATTTACTTTTTGCATCAATTACGTTTATTATTGTTTGAACTTGGCAATTTCTACTTGATTAGCATTTTTGTTACAGACGACAAGGACAAGATTGACCGATATTTGAAGGAGATTATTGAAGATGTTGTTGAGCTCAAAACGAATGCAAGTGGAAGTGGTGCACCTGAATCCACTATTGTCTGAATTGGTTCTGTTAAAAGACTTTGATGGATTTAAGAACTTTGAAACTTATTAGTTGTTGATGGATTGATATTGTTGTAGTTTCTTGTGGTTTTGCTGTATGTAATATATTTATGGATTGATTTTATAGGCTTTTGGTATGAACTATGGTCGCGGTTCATGGATGAACTAATTATAGAATTATAGGTTTTATGTTTAGCATGATGTGTGGGTATGAGATTTGGATTATTATTAGATTTGATTAACATGTTATGTTGCTTTATATCTCTTTGAATGATTGGATCAACTATCAATTATGGTTCAATATATGTTTAATTTATAGCTCATAACCATGAAACATGAATTTCCACGCACAAAATTAAGGGAGGGAGATAAAAACTCACTCTTTGAATGCATTATTTTAAGTTTTTTACTCTTTACTCTTTTTTGATTAATACTCGTTTAACTAATATAATTCTTTGACTTAAAGGTGTGTTTACTAATCAGGAATTGAAAAATAAGAAATAAATTTTAAGAAAAAAAGAAATTAAGTTCCACGTAGAACTAAGTTCCAGAACTTTAACTAATTTATTTGGGAATTAAGTTATAAGGGGAAATCAATTCCTGTTATGTTGTTTACTTACATAAAAATCAAAAGGAACAAAAATATAATAAATGTGCTTACAAAAATAACCTTGTGTTAAGTGAATAACTAACATAAATAAGAGTAAATTTGCTAAAAATTTCAAGAAAAAGAGAAATTAAGTTCCATGTAGAACTAACTTCCGGAACTTTAACTAATTTATTTGGAAATTAAGTTACAAGGGAAATAAATTCCTATTATATGTTGTTTACTTACATAAAAATTAAAAGGAATAAGAATATAATAAATGTACTTACAAAGTATCCTTGTGTTAAGTGAATAACTAACATAAATAAGAGTAAATTTGCTAAAAATTCCAAGAAAAAAAGAAATTAAGTTCCATGTAGGACTAAGTTCCAGAACTTTAACTAATTTATTTGGAAATTAAGTTCCAAGGGAAATAAATTCCTATTATGTTGTTTACTTACATAAAAATTAAAAGGAATAAGAATATAATAAATGTCCTCACAAAAGTATCCTTTTGTTAAGTGAATAACTAACGTAAATAAGAGTAAATTTGCTAAATATTCAAAAGAAAAAAAAAAATTAAGTTCCGCGTAGAACTAAGTTCCAGAACTTTAACTAATTTATTTGGGAATTAAGTTACAAGGGGAAATAAATTCCTATTATGTTGTTTACTTACATAAAAATTAAAAAGAATAAAAATATAATAAACGTGCTTACAAAAGTACCCTTGTGTTAAGTGAATAACTAACATAAATAAGAATAAATTTGGTAAATAGGTTAGATAGGTTCCTCTTTCTTAGGGGAAAGAATTAAATTTTGTAGATAGGAGGTGAGATATAAGTTCCCCCTCATCAAGGAACTTAGTTCCCCATTTGTATATGGGTCAATGTAATTCAATTACTAATCAAATATTTAATTTCTTTTTTTTTTTTTGAATTTGGATTCATGATTAATAAACACGCCCTAAAAGTGTTAATGAAGAGTAAGAAGTAAAAATTTAAGACTCATAAATTTTAAGAGTATTTCTCTCATTTTTTTGAAGAAAGAAGACAAATACCATTTAAAAATATATGAGTTAACATTTCTATCATTTATTCTTAATTAACATTTTTTTTAATTAAATAATTATACTAAGTATTAATGGGGTAAAAATTGATATCCATACATTTAAATTCTTCAATTTTGTCGGAGAGAGATTGCACGAAGCCCACTAAGCCCAGATACGAGTTGCAAAGCCCATATTCTTTGCCCATGATGTGGCGTAGTGGCTAACAGGCCTTAACTAAGTCGGTGCATGGCAATTGGCAGTTGCCAAGTGTACTACCAAGAACAGTGCAAATTAATCAGAATCTTTCCCCAAAAAAATAAATAAAAAAGAAAAAGAAAAAGAAAGAAAGAGAATCAGCTAGAAAAAAAAAAAGAAAAAAAGAACCGAGCAAATGAATCGTCTTTACTCAGCCACAGCGAGTGCTACAACAACAACAACTACTCTTGCGTACGGTTTCCGCTATCGTGCGCCCACTGTGAAGCACCTCTTATCCTGCGCTCTGCTCTACAATCTTCATCACCGTTCTCGTCGCTCTCTTTTGGCTTCACCAATCACAACTTTCTCTTTCTGTCCTTGCGTTAATTTCCTCACGGGAAACTCACCGTTTTTCAGGATGGAGGTAAACCCACAAGCCCACTTCCTGATTTTTCTTGTGTTTGTTTGGATGCTAAGAAAACTGAGGAAAAGGGATGATTTTGCAATGGGCTTGGAATCCCTTTTATTTTTTTAATTGATTTTTTTTTTCTGGGGTTCTGATATTTCTTATGTATCAAGATTGGATTTTTTTTTTATTATTTTCTTTTGTTTTTGGAAGTGGGCTCTGTTTGATTGTGATGGGTGTTGCAGTTGATGAAAGAATGGTTGACATTTTCTGTTAATTAATAATTTTTCTTTTGGGTTTTTGTTTGTTTGTTGTTGGTGTTGAAGGTGATTGATTATGTGTTTCTTTCTGATGGTTGCAAAATTGTGCTTTTGATGGGTTCGTCAATTAGATTGTTCAGCCAACGGGAAGGTTTCCTCCAAAAGCAAAATGCTTTGGAATGTTTTTGGATTGTTTGTGTTAACAGTGCATAGATTTTTTTTTTAATTTTTTAATTTTTGGTGGTAACAAGGGCGATATCTAATGTCTAGTTTTAAGAATTTAGCCAAAATATTGATTGAGCAAAATAAATTATCATGAACGTAAACTTGCACACATGTTAAGATTATGTTGGTTCTGTAAAACTGAAATGACTGTTTTGTCTAAGCATTGTTGTCCTCGATAACTTAAATTTTAGTTTCATGACGTTTCATGAGACTACGTCTTCATGTTGTATCATTTTTCATATAGATTTAGGATTATGCACATAACAATGTAATAATACTTATTTCTGACTGTGAAATGGAAAGTGAAACCTTTACTCTCTGCCTGAAGTAAGCGTGTAAACTTTGGTTAAGAATTCTGATCGATGATCTTTGTCACGATCGGAGTAGACGCCTGGGAAATTATTCATTTACTGCCTTAGTTGTTTATTCTTCGTTCAGGTTGTTGTGGTCGGTTGTATTTCTCGTGTGTAGGTGGTAAGAAATGTTGCTAAGATTAGTTAGTTAATTTAGTTATGTATGGACGGTTTGACGCGTCCGTTTACTTTCAGGTAATGTCTTGTCGAGTACTATGGAAATTCTGTTTTGTAGTGTTTGTGTTTGTAACTAGTGGGTCACTTAGTTCCCACGTTAATCCTTTTCCATTCCATACATGTCCGAGGGCCTTGGATGGACAACCTCAGCCCATGTCTCCCTCTGCCCCTCGTCTCGAGGCTTTGCAAATGGAGGAGGTATTTATTTTCACAAAATTGAGCTTAAAGTGGTTAATACACCTACGTCCGGTTGCCTTTTGCTCGAGGTGTCTATCTGATCATCTTCCTTTGTTGATCAGGAGAGCTAGTGAACAATTGCTTCCTTTTTTTTTTTCTTTTTTTCCCCCTCCAAGTGTGTTGGAGAGTTTGATATGTTGGTGCGTGCTTATTTCATTCTCTCTCTCTCTCTCTCTCTCATATTTCATTATGGACAAGCTTTTGTTTTATCTTTCAGTTTGTAGTGATTTTCCTTTCTAAAATATTTACAGCGATTTTGGAGTGGAGGTAACATAGCCAGGAACAAAGCAATGGTGGAGCAGTTGCAGCGTTACGGTGTAATGTCGTCGAAAAAAGTAGCCGAAGTGATGGAGACTGTTGACAGAGCTTTATTTGTACCTGATGGGAACCCTCCTTATTTCGATAGTCCCATGGCCATAGGTTACAATGCCACTATCTCTGCACCTCATATGCATGCAACATGCCTTCAGTTGCTGGAGAAGAACTTGCAGCCTGGCATGCATGCTTTAGATGTCGGCTCTGGTGTGTTTCTTGCACGTGTAGTTCACTGAACATAACACAAATATACCTTTTATATAACCTACCCTGGGCTATAATTGCATCTCATTGTTGAATAGTGTAATCCATCTTATGATATTTTCAGATGACATATGACCGTTCTCATTCTAATTTGATCTTTATAGTTGTATCCGATCATGCTATGAAAGCTGGCAGTATCTTTAGCATCTCTACTTATAAGGGGTTCACTGGCTTTAGAGATCATATCTTCCCAGTTTTCTTCTTTGAAATGTTGTGTATTTTCTTTTAACTTTTTGTTTTTTTTTTTCCTTTTCAGGAACGGGATATTTGACAGCATGTTTTGCACTGATGGTTGGAGCAGAAGGTCGTGCTGTTGGTGTGGAACACATTCCTGAGTTGGTTGCCTCCTCAATTCAGAATATCCAAAAAAGTGCAGCCGCTCCTTTGTTGAAAGACGGTTCTCTCTCGGTGCATGTTGGTGGTATGTATTTGGAAAGTCATTTAGTGAAGGAAATAAAAAAAAGGGTGTTCCCTGATCTTTTGATTTAAAACAGTTCGCTGATTTGGGCGGCATTAGGAATTTTGAATATGGTTGTTCACATAGGGAAGTTTGGGGAGTGTAAATGCGTCGGCTTCAATTATTCGGACTTTAAGCCTTTAGTATTTCCCTTTTTCACTCCTGGTTTCTTTCAGGACAAACACAAACATATATGTCCGCTAACATTTTGGTTTACGCAGATGGAAGACTCGGTTGGCCAGAATTCGCACCATATGACGCAATTCACGTCGGGGCAGCCGCTCCAGAAATCCCACAACAACTGATTGAACAGTTGAAGCCTGGAGGCAGAATGGTCATCCCTGTAGGCAACATATTTCAGGATCTGCAAGTAGTGGACAAGAATTTGGATGGTTCGATCAGCATCAGGAGTGAAACTTCAGTCCGCTATGTTCCCCTTACTAGCAGGGAAGCACAGTTGCAAGGCTAATGAAGCTGAAATATTTCCCCCCCAGAAGTTTATCTGCCGTCCGTTTGTTTCTTTTCTAGTTTTATTTGGTGTGTAAGGCTTTGATAGTTGTTTGACTAGACCAATGTTGTATATATATGGGTAAAATCATGTGGTCACTGTCAAGGGTAACAAGGAGTTGCAATGTGTTTCGTGTCTGTAAATTCTTTTAATCTCAAGGTAGTTTCCACATTTTCCATAACCAAATATGTCATTCCTGC